TAGTTTAAAATGCCTCACTATCCCCATTGTCTTGCCCGTTAGATTTTAATGTCTTTTATTAAATAAAATGTGTCTCCTCCTCATATATTATGCAAGTTCTTGATCACAAAAGAATATTGCACCAATCCCAGATCTGTACATAAAAAAATTGAGAAATTGATGCCTATATTATGAATATAAATTTAAGAAACCCCTTAATTGTATAGCAACTCTAAAATATACAGTTCACGTATAATACTGTATGTTTACTAATACATTTATTAATCAGTTCTAAATTTTTAGTTTTGATTACATTATCCCAGACAGTAAGGATTGCTGTTTGTTTGTCTAGTTTTGTCTGAGACAGCAGCTAATTACTTAGGGTTCTGCAGCTTAGTTTAAACTCAATTTCCTTCCCTTAATCTATCAGAACCAAGTGGAGATGGCTAAGTAAATATACATTAGGTTATTGTGGTTATTGTATGTCAATAACATGATGGTTGGCAAACTCATTCGAATAAATGTAGGTTTACACGTTTGTACCAATGAACGAATGGTGTTTTTGACCTCTGGAGACCTCAAAACAAAAAAGTATATCGATCTCGGGTCTAGGTCTTACCATGAGATCAACTGTAATAGCTTATTCTATATGGGAAATTCGCTAAAAACTAAACTTTTGCTTGTACACTGCTTTAATCTTACTAATATTATAAATGTGAAAGTTTGTGTGTTTGTGTTTGTTTGTTTGAAGTTCAATCACACATTACCTACTGGACGGATTGGGCTGAAATTTGGCATGATGATACCTCACACTCCCGATTAACATATATTCTTATCTCAAAAATCCTTTCGGGCTCCGCCCCAATGGCTCTTTAGTTCCCCATGTTAACCTTATGAGTATTCATATTTAAAAGGAATTAAAGAATTTAGTTAGCTGTTTCAACTAAAAAAGTTGGTTCTATGTTATGCAATAGAATTAAAAAGTTATAAGATTTACCAACAGGGTGCAGCACTATTGTTATTTTTTTGCATTTATGAAAACAGCCAATTTGAACTAAAGCTGCAACAAAAAACTGTGATACATCAAAGTAGGATTGTTTAAAGTTATGTTTATGTTTTTAATTTCATGAATTATTTGTGATCTTTTGTAAAATGTTAATGATTATTATTTTTCTATTGTTTAGGTGAAGTGGTAGAACATTATTACTATGGTAGATGTGTAATACTATAGTATACCGTAAATTTTAAAGAAGCAAATTTTATCAAACTGTGTCCTCCCCCATTGCAAACGCAAAGCTTGAGTATAACTGCAATAAGCATTTTATACTTACTGTATATGCCAACCGCGTATGAACGACGGGTACTCTGCTAGTAGGTATATAAAATATTGTTTGTCTTTTAACACCTGCTTGTAATAATAACCTGGGTTTAAAAATTCCTGTCTGTCCTATCCATTATGCTGAAAGAGAGTTTTATTTTGACTGAAGACTCAAAAATGGATTTATTGATGCCTGTGAAATTTTTTATGCTACGGTGTAAAATTGAATAATGATTCTAAACTACTTTTAACCCAGAATCCAACCTTAAAGTTCTGTCCATGTTTACTATTTTTGCAAAAAGCAATTGTTGAAGATATATATCCAATAAAATGAAATGTAAGGTGTCATTAAGTTCTGATATAAGATATAGGCTACCATATTTTTTTACTATACAGAACAGTAAACTGCCAAATATAGGAATAATAATGTAGGACAAAATCCTCAAAATATATGGTAAGGGTTAACTTAACCACCATCACTTCAAGTATCGCATCTCTTATAAATTCAGAATTTATACCAATTTGATATAAGTAATTTGTTGGTAGTTAAAATTCTAGTTCCCAAAATTGGACAATAGAAGGACATTAGGCAAACAAGAAATCTTAAATTCCAAGAGCTGTATAAATGGTTATATATATGTTCAAACAGAAATGGAACAAAGATGACAACCTGTAGATGTTCTACAGTCAAAATATTTAGGTGAGTCTAGATCCCACAAAACTTTTAACAGCTGATATAAGGTGAAGTAAGATTATAAATCATATGAAGCTTTACTGTCTACCACAGCACAAACTTGGAACTCAAGCCTTGAGTTCCAAGTTTGTGCTGTGGTAGACAGTAAAGCTTCATATGATTTATAATCTTACTTCACCTTATATCAGCTGTTAAAAGTTTTGTGGGATCTAGACTCACCTAAATATTTTGACTGTAGAACATCTACAGGTTGTCACTCAAGGAATGATTAATGCTAGTCACTTGGGATACTACTAACTTTACCCATGATTACTTACATTTAAACTGTGATTTTATAATAAATCTGACTTTGGTTATTATTCATTTTCACCAATTCAGATAAAAAGTCCTATAAGACGTTTTTAAACTGTTCCTAGACACCAACAATACAACTTTCTCAATTGACTTTTTGGTCGCTGAGACTTCCCTTAGACACCGCACCCAGATTACGGATAGGGGTTAGGTTAGGTTAGTTTAATCTATGTAATGGTGTCTAATCTGGGCGTGGTGTCTAGTAATCTTGGTGAGGTTTCTAGTATATTAAACTGCTCTGTCTTGATGTTTAAGTGAATTTTTCATGCGTGGTGTCTACAGGAAGCCTCAGCGACAAAAAAGTAATTTAAGAAGGGTGTAGTGTTGGTGTCTAGGAACAGTTTAAACACGTTTTATAGATCGTTAGGTGAGTTGCGGAAAACGAATATTCACCCTGACGTTTCAATACAATTTATACTACTACAAAAAAGTACCGTACGGTACCAAATGTTTTTATAAATTTAAATTTGGTATGACACTTAAATGGATTTCTAACTAAAACCAATTCAATTATCATGGTGATATTTAAATCAGTAATAAAACAAATAAACTACTTAATAGTAGTGACATATTAATAATTTACAAAGTAGCATATTATTAAGTACATACAGTACAACTTGATCTCAAAGGCAAACTTCAGTTATTAAAGAGGCAACTTTATTACAAAACTAATTGATTCTTACGAACTTGTGAATAAAGCCAAGTCTCTGAATTTGTTACTGTTACTTAGTAATTTGTGTTTGAGAATTGTTCGACTGTACAATAAACACTGGTTCAAAATGTTTAAAATTAGTAAATTACACAGTTTTAACTTAAGCACATATAGGCTTTACACTATATTAGTATGCGATATACATATTCCAATACTTATGGCCATGAACTTTTAAGTACAAACTGTTTGAGTTTGAGTCTAAAGTTATAATTTTTGGTCACCATAATTATTTGTAGTCTTTACACACTTTGTGTAGGCCCACCAATAGTTATATTTCAGATAATGTTCATACATAAAATCAAGCAGCAAATATGTATCAAGGTTTGTATAGTAATCAACCCATTTTAAAGCGGGTAAAGAAGGCATAAATCTAAAATATAATTCAAATGATATGACTTACGAGTAAAATTGGAATAATAACTGTTTGGGACTATAATTTTCAAAAGCCAGACATAGGTTACAAAAAGTCTGGTAATGTCAAGCTGTGTGTCAGTTTGCAGTGACAGCTGTTATGAGCTCTTATCACCACCATAAATCACATATTATCTGCACACTGCAAGTTTGTTAACAAACCCATGTTGTAGAATTTCCTGATATTAAAGAACAGTAGGCCTACACCCGAATATAAGCATTAAAAACCAAAACCACTTAAAAATTATCACTTCATATCAGGTGTTATACTTATAAAGTAAGTACAATTTATTCTTGAAATGTATGAGTACCAGACAATTCTTCATTGATTGAAGATTGTAGTACTTACAAATAATTTAATTCTCAAGACACCAACATTGATTTGATGTTTGGGGTTTCTATTATACAGGATGAGAAGTTAAACCATCCTCTACAACTGTATTTTAAAACCCTCTCTTTTAGTTAACCATTCTATCTAAGTGAATATTGAATATATTTTTACAATTCAATGACAACTATTTAAAATAAACCCCTGATTATTTTACTAAATTCAAATAGTGCAGGGTCAAGTATTATCACAGATTAAAGAATAGACATCGTGTAGCGTACTCTTTAATCTGTGGTATTATATATCATACTCATAGAATAGCAGCATTATTGTAAAATATTTAGTCTTTTATTGATTTACAAGTAATTTCACTAATTTTGATTTGGATAAAATAATATGACTTACCGGTATCAGCGATCAAAAAAGTGCAAGTAATTTTCTTATACAACTTGTTTCATAAACTTTTGTTTTATTAAACTTGACCTCTTGTGTTTATAAAAGTTTTGTTGTACAAGTTGTATGCGCCAAAAAGAATTATCAAAAGTTTAAAAGAGCTTGACCAAAAACCTACAGTCACCTTGACTGTTGGAAACTGCTGCTTGTGTTGTGAATTTCCTGTGCTAGAAGGAAAAGAGCAAAGAGTTGCTTTTTGGGTACGTCATTGACTGCAAGCTAGGATTGAGTACAGTGGCAATGAAATGTTACAAGATTTTGAACGAGATGAAGAAGATTTGTTGGCTGGGGAATTGAGGATTGATTAGGTAGCTTCAAAAAACTTTTTAAGAATGACAAGTGAAGACTTTGAGTAAATAGATCAGGAAATAGACCAAGACTCAGCGTGAAGTATAACTCTTTGCAAAGGTGTGAGCGGTCACCACTCAAACACTACCACGATCCGTGGCTAAAATTGAAGAAAATACAAGAGAAATTTCTGCAAGAACAAAGGCTACAAAAACAAAGTACAGTACGGTAACTAAATAATTCAGTTTTCTAGTTCTTGCCACTGGGAAAAGAGAAATAAAAACACTAATATATACATAATATGAATAGGCTTCTTCAAGAATAAGAATAAACTTCCTCCAAACAATATCTGATGAAAATAAATATTTGATAAAGTTTTACTCATAGTTATGAAGAAAGTTTGATGTAAAAATGTAAACAATTGTTTCCATAGCGGCTTAATTTATTATGTTGGATTGAACTTAATTTGGCTTTGATTTTTGAAAACATCCTACGTATAAAATTCAAAAACATGTCAAATCGAGATTCAATATCTCAAGTACCTGTTTTGACTGAAATATTCAAGTGGGATAGGAAGTTTTTCAGGGTCTACACAGACTTTCGACCAAACCTTAAGGGTAAACTTACATTGAATAAACAGTACTTTAAAACATGAGTGTTTTTACATACTGACAGGGGATAGCTCTTGTCAAAACAGCTGACATCATCCTGCTAAGTAAACAATTTACAAACAAATCATCATATTTGGATCCTGATGCTTTCAACAATTCAGTCACATCAGTTTTTAGTCATGCTAAATGACTTTCTGCAGTCAAATAATGATGTTTTTTTTTTCAAAAAGAAGTAACAATTCCTGATCCAACTTCAACTAACTATATACAGGAGGCTAGGTTACCTTTTCTGTTAAAGTAATCCTTGAGTCGTTTGTATGACGACTGATTTCCATGGCTATGGCGTAACTTTCAAGCAGGAGCACGTTAAATGGTCAAAGAAAATTTTTTATTACCTACTAAGAGTCATTAAGATGTAAGCTTTTCAACTAATATTTTGCTGGCTATCTATGGTTGGTTGGCTGTGTGTCCAAAATGTGACAATTTTAATTAGAGAGCACCGATTTGTAAATTTTACTTCATGTCTACTCATGAGAAGATATGCCCTCAATATGGACCAGGTTCAGGCTACAAACCAATCTAAATCTAACCTGGGCAATGTTTCCAATACACCTTTTGGTGCATACACATCAGGCAATAAACGACAGAGAAGCCATTGCTTGTAAGAAATAAACACCCTCTTCAAATTGAGAGCTAGCTGAAAGGCAGGGAGGGGACCAAGGACATGTATCTCGTTCCTGATTCCCATAGGAGAATTTTAAGGAAGGATAAAAATAATAATCCTGGGGATAGGACCAGCTGATCCTAGGCAATACAGATACACAAGGCATCTCAAACCATTTTACACACACCCTTCACTCCAATACCCAGCATTATTGTGTCCCTGTCTCGATAAAGTAATGCTAATAATGATAAAATTGGTATACAATGTTACAAAGCTTTAGCATGCCACGGATACATCTGGCTGTAGCTCTGCAGTAGGCTTTAAGAGAGATTTGTACCTTTATCAAACCCATTAAGCTGCAGCGTTCGATAGATCTCACAAGACTAATATGACAAAACTTCCACTAACAACTACATATGCAAGTATAACTCAACAAACATGGGAGTCAAGTTTACAGCTAATGCGTCTGGTCTTTTAGTTGACCAGTGCAGTTAGTGTGGTAGATCATTAGGTCTGATCAAAGATGAGAGGACTAAAGTGTTCTCTCTGGCAAGTAGACAACATTTTAGATTTGGGGTTTGAAATCTGTCTTGGTCAGGTGTGGTGTCCTACGCATGAGGAGTTCATCTGTCAGTAGCAAAGATCCACCTAAAACTTTCGACAGCTCAGAAAATTAGTTGAACAGAAATGTAGGAAAATTTTGTAAAGCTCAATTTGTTTAGTTAGTTTTTGCAGGGAATATATCTATAATACAAACTGCACACGTTTTTCAGTTTCAAAAGTAACACCTAAGTTCTATGCAAGACATGAAGGATCAGAGTCTCTTGATTCTGTAGATCCAGAAACTCTAGAATTAATACTCAACCATTGTGACAAAGGACCTCGGGAAAAGCAGAAATATCCTGAAACTGAGAATCAAAGGTAATTAGGAATACACTAAACACAACTTCTAGATTTAATTACATAAAACAAAATATTTCAGATCCATGGTTCCAGTGAGGTCAGTGAGGTTTTAAGAAGTGCTTAACTTTGTACAAAATGATTTCTATTCATAAATCACACAGAGAAAACATTTACGAGGCTTGTAAGTAAGGGCCGGTTTTACATATAGCTCTGTGTAGTTCGCGGGTACGCCTCAACGAGGCACCTCACCACTGACTGACGTCAATTGGGAACAGAATTACACCATTTGCAGCTCTGTAGCTGTGTGTTTAAACAAAATGTTTAAATCATATAATCTCCGCTGCGTGCGAGATAAGGAAGGTCATTGATATAACTTTTCATTACAAGAAACATATCCGAGGCCGTAAATCATCACCAGTTGACTGAAGGTTATGGCTCTAGAGCAATGAGTGAGGGTAAAGTGCGGAAATGGGTCATAGAGTGTAAAAATGGTTGTGAAAACCTCTTTCCTTTGTGGTCTTCTGTTAGAAGTCTGCGTACCCACTACAAACACAATTCTCTATGAAATTAAATTTTCACCCCGATTTTTAAACTCCCTACCCCATTTCTGCAGTTTTCCCTCTATCACTGCATTAGAATCCTGTATATGATGCACCTTCAGTCATTTGGCAATGCATGTCAGCATCGGATTTGTATCTTGTGTTCTAAAACGTATCACTGACCTTATGTCGCACACGGTGGGAGATTCAATAATTTTTAAAACTTTTAATACACACAGCGAAGCGTACACGTCAGCTACAGAGCTACAAATGGTGTCATTCTGTTCACAAATTATGCGATGACGCAAACTACGGAGCTATACAAAAAAACTGCCCTACTTAAAAAACTACCAGTAGAAGTAAAAAAATATATATATATATATATTTGCCGTCCCAGACTACTTTATCAATCCAAACATGGGTCTGTGGTAGCAAACCAGGCCTTGCTAGTTTGATACTGGCTGTCTGTACATCTGATCACTGCAGTCACCACCACTGGCTTGCCTCTGTTACTTAGACCATATCAGTATACTTTCACAGATTAACATTCTATAATGATAATGATGGGCAGTTGAGGGTTGAACTAATCCTTCTCAACTTTACTTGTCTGATAAAATGACTAAGAACCTCAAAATATTTAACATATTATTTTAAAAGATTTTTATTTTCCTTCAGTGAACTGTATGAGACATTTATTGTATACCTGATAAGCCAGATATCGATCATAGTTAAAGTGAATTCATAACCTTACAATTACATGCATATTTAAATATTTCAATACTTAAAAATGTCTTCAGGGACATTATATGCTGTAATGATATATTCAAACAAGTGGAAAGGGGATATAAAGTTAAATTATTTAGTAATTTTACTCTATTTAAGTTATTTCAATAGAATCATTTCTTCTAATATCCTTTCCTAAGAACTTGACTGCATGTTTCAAACTATTAACACTTAAACAAATCAGAATTCAACCCTGATAGGCAGGAAACTGTAGTCCTGTTATCAGACTCCTGGACCATTTGAGATCCCTCAAACTATTTAGGTTAACCGTATATTTAGAGAACTTTACTATATAGAATGTCTAGGTATGGATGGTACCAAGAACTGCTGGTACCAATGGACAAGATGGATCGTCGACTAAACAACCATCGCATTGGCTCTCAAGATATTCAAGTGGCAGCTGAAATCAAGAAGAATCTAGTAAAGGAGGCTCCATTTACAGGAGTACCGTTCAAGCTTTGAAATAATCAAGTTGCACATTGATTTACTGTTACTTTTAGTTTAAAACTGATCACTATTCTTACTAATGTTGTCATTCCTGATAGAATAAGTTCTGCTGATATTGCCCAAAGGTATGGACCAATATTTTTATTTGTGTATTCACACCATTGGCATTAGTTTGTTTATGTCAAAAACAAAAACAAAAAACTAAAAAAACTGTCAAAAAGTCAAAAAACTGTGGGTATAGAAATAAATTTCTCAGTTACTAAGGTTAACCCATTGGGGAAGGAATTAATTTGCCACCTGCAGCACCCTATTTCAGCAATTCATTTTACCGAATTTGTAGACTCTTACTCTATGTTAAAGAAAGAAAACCTTAGGTAGTAAATTAATAATAATTGTTTCGCCATTTTGTTCAAAGTAGGCCTACAAATCTACAAAAAAAGTGGTAACTGGATAATCAAAGTGTAAATAAAAATAAATAATTAAATATTATAAAATAAAAATTTAAAAAACATTTTTTTTTACTTGATTTACAAATGACAAGATTAATCCAGACACCAAATTACACTACTATTATCATTATCATATATATTGATACTTGACAGGGTTTTTTTATTCCACGATTCTGAATCAACCACTCGGATTTTCATGATTTTTGTGTTGAAAGAAAGATAATTTTGAGAACTAGGGAATAATGATAATGTAATGATAATGAGACAAATGACACAAATGATATTAATGTAAGATGTAATGTACATTTAAGCCATAACTTTAGTTTAGGGTTTCAGTTTTTTTTTTTTAATAAGTTTAAAATTTTAAAAAGTCTAGCAGCCAACGCTAACATTCTACACAAGCTTTTGGTATAACACCATTTGCCTAACGTAACAGCTGTAAACATTAAGCGTGGATGACACAAATTCAGTATTTGGATAGTAAAGAAATGCATAGGGTTGACTTATTTATACTATTGTGTAATGCTATATTCATTGGGTACGTTCATTTATTTGGTAAGAGGATGACAGACTATTTAAATAAACATGGTAAAATGCTAGATGTTCTAAGTTATTTTTAGAGAAGTCTTTATACTTTTTTTTTAGTTTGTTTTAGTGCAATATAATTTTTTTTTAATAAACAGCTGGTTGAATAAAACAATATTCTATGGAACTATCAGGGGCCCATTTCATAATAAACTACAAGTTACAAGTTAAAACTTGTAACTTGTAGTTTCCATTAGATTTGCATTGGGCGATCAGCTGATTTACTAATAATATTAGTTTGTACTTTATTATGAAATGGGCCCCAGGTTAGATTTATTATTCTGTGATTTTGCCATTGATTATAGGAAATAAGTAAGATTCTATAAACACTGATGTATACAAATTGAGGCTCTGCCCCCATATCTTCAAAGGAAAGGTTATGCAAATTATTTTTCTGTTCGACTTTTTGGGGAAAGAATAGGAAAATAACAATGTTTACAAGTTTTAATTCATTTTGGCAGCTTTTTGTTTACAATAAATGTTTAACCGCTAAAACTTTGCTTGGATTATAAATGGAAATATTGACATAGCTTCAGTTTTAGTCGACTACTATATTCCCAAAGGTAGGACGGGCCAACAGCTCGTAATGTTATTAATTCCCTACATAGAAAAATTACAAGTTGTTTACTTTTATAAGTAATAACATAAGAAAAATTAGTTTGATTTACCTTAAACCACAGCTGATTTTGGGTGATATCTGGTTTCCTTGGCAGCAAAACCTTGTTTGTTTTTTGCAAAAAAAATTCAGTAACTGCGCAAAACAAGAAGCAAGATATTTATAAACATCATAAAAGAAGCAACTAAAAAAAGAGGGAAAATAATAATAAAATAGCTAATGGCCCTGCGTAGCGGTGACACGAGCGGTACTCGTAAGTCAGCCGCCGGGCCTGCAGCGGCCATTGAAGTCTGTATAATATTTACTCAACTTTATGTATCTTGCAATTTTTAGGGAAAAATTAACAGTTTTTGTGAGGTTTGGCATTAAATATATAAAACCTCAACAACAATAATTATAATAAAAATGCCACCATTTTGAAACAGTTTTAAGAGTTTATATTCATATTTTGCACACATATACCGTGAATAAGACAAACATTTTTTCGGAATCTCAAGACTGTGGATCAAACTAAGGAGTTATGAAGGTTTTTTAAACACGTACAGACAGATACTAAACATACCGTTATTGGACTTATGTTTATGTAGCCGTTTTTGCTTATTTTTACTTAAGAAATCGCTACGTTTTAATGTCCCTACCTATTTTGAACACCCTGTAGATATGAACTTGTTAGTGTCTAGGTAGACGAATAGACAATTCTTGTTTTTGAGGTATCGGAACTTAAACCTACCAAGAGGTGAAACTGATATAGTCAGTGTGAATGAAGAATTTCCTAAAAATAATCAATTATCTTTGTGGAAAATAGGCCAGTGCAAATCCTGTACTTCAATACCACTTTGTAATACATATTTTAAGTGTTGTTTATATTTTTCATTCACAAAAGAATTATGATATTAATAAGATGTAATTAATTTAACCCTTTGTGGTCAAATGGTGAGTATAGGTCATCGGGCGCCATTTTCCCGAATGCTCAAATGGCAACCTATACTTGCCGAAAAATGAAAAAAAATTAAACCTCAAAGGGTTAATGCATCAGGTGAAAATAAGGAAACTTTAAATCGTTTTTTATAGTTTTTATTATTTTTTTATTTTTTGTGTTTTTTGTCTTAACTACATTATTAATATTAATATGACTATCCTTAACACATACTCGCAAAAATATTATATAAACACGCATTTTAAAATTACCATGATAATGATTACATGAGAAAATGCACTTAACACTAAAAAAAACTATAATAACCCCAAACCTCATCCCTAAATTGTAGAAAAGTCAAACTTAACTAGAAATGTGAGACCAAATCAGAGAAAAACAGAGCCCCAAGGAGTGTGGAATCATGGGTAATGTACAGTTGAAATATATACACCTGTCTTACAACAACTTCTTGAATTTCCATTTTGATTCTAAATGCAATGTAAAATGAAAATTAACAACATAATAATTACTTCTTGAATGACACAGAAAATCTTTTGTTAATTTAGTATAATGTGATTGAATAATAATTCATCATCCAGAATATTGAGTAACTAAACACAAAATGTACTTTTATGAAAATAATTCTTTCTTCCATAAAACAAGAAGTGTAAATTAAATATCTCTTAATCTTGAAATAGTTTGTAACTGAAAATTCAATCTACTGTTGCAGACACAAACGATATAATAATTTATTATTGCCATAATGTTAGCCAAAAAACTAAAAACTACGTTATTGAATAAGAAAATCATATCACAAGTCACTATTTATGGAGACATCTGTTACCAAAACTGTGACACAAAAAAGGCACTAAAACCAAGTGTGCCTGTTGTAAAAATAACCAATACCTTTGATTTAAAAGACATAACCAACAAATTTCAAAAAAAAGTTTAGTCATGCAACAATTTAAACAATCTAAACATAAAAAATCTTCCTTTTCTTTAAAATAACTTAAAAATTAATTATGTACAACAAATATCTTATTGTTGATTCAGAAATACAACCTTTTAAGTGATGATAAGGATAAACAATTTTAGTAGCGTCTCACTAGAGGAAAAATGAAGAAAGGTCGAAACCACACCACAAATAAAAATAAAAGTTCCCCAAAATAATATTACAATATTTATGATCTTTGATATATAAAATAAAGAATTGCATTAAGTAATAAGTATTGTCTGGCTAGAACGGCTAGATTATGAATATCAAACAAAGTTACAAATAGGATTCAACCTAAAAGTACATCTTTGATATAACAACCTTTAATTACGTTTAAACTAAAAATATATCCTAGTGGATAATTTCCAAAAAGGGCATTCATCGATTAATTCAGTTTTTAGCACCATGTATAAAAGTACAACATCTACTTCTAAACTTTATTTTGAAAATGTTAATTTAATGTCACCTTACACTAAGATTTAATGAGAAAACTTTGTTCAGGTAAAAATGTGAAGTTGAAAACTAAAACTACTGGGTATACAGGTAAAAAATGTTTAGTACTTTACTTCTTGAGAAAACTTAAATGCATTGTAGATCAAAAGCTCAGAAGTCCAGAGTTAAATGTTCAGTTTAGTTTCAGGGCAATAACATTTAAATTACACGGTTCAACCTATTCAGCTAGCAGATAAGCTAATTGTATAAACTTACTCACTACTTACTTCTGGCACACAAAAATTAAAATTTTAACAGATTAACCTGGTCTACGCGTTCAGAGTTAGAACTTTTCCCTAGGCACTGTGTCAAAGAATACAAAAAGTGTAAAAGTAACCAAAAGTATATTGAACATGAAGCACATCAGTAATATACAAGCTTACTGTTACACAAGGATAAGGTATATATATATATATTTATATGTATAAGATTATTTACAACACTACGGATCGTTGAGCAACTGAGGATATAGGTGGTAATTTTGAATAAAAGAAAACCGACATTGGAACCTATTATGTTGGAACCTATTATCTTTCGTTTCAGTCACATCTCACTTAAACTACTTACACTTAACTTACTCTATGTACAATTACAATTAAGCAAAAAATCACACATTAGAAACTATGCACCTACCAAAACAAAAATGTCAGGTTATAATAAGATAACAATATACAGACTGTTATACACGTAAACAAACATGGCTATCCCGACTGAAAACCCCCGACTATCCTAACAACAAACTACGTTGTGCCTAACAAACTACGTGACGCACCCAAGTACGTTATCACGGGTTGGGCCGTGAATGACTGTCGGTAACAATTTCGGATAGGAACCTTTTGCGCCAAGCTAAATTTTATCTGATAAACCGTTTTGGACTAGAATTATATCCTCAAAAGACTTCGGTAGTAATACTCGGTTATCGATTTGCCAATAGAGGTGGTAAGTCATAAGAAGGATATTATAATCTAATATTATGTATAACAAACATATCAACTTTCTCCAAGTTAGATATGATATGACACTACGGTGAGTTTAGACAATTTGAGGGTTAATAATAACTAGAAATAAAATACAAGAAAACTAACAGCCACTGTACTAACATAAAATCTGACTGAATACAGAACATAACGTACACTATAAACATCCTGAAAAATACCCGATGAAAAGAAAACAAAACAACAAAGTGAAAGTAACAAAGGAAGTTGGTTAACAGAGCAACATGTAATATGGAAATCAGGTTGTGGGGCCATTCATATAATCAAGGCGTAAAACATTAATCAAATTTAATAAAACATACAAAAGCTACAATATTATTTTAAATACAAGATTACAACTATCATATTGAATTTCCAAAAGTGAATGCCCAAATCCCAATTTTGAACATTTTATTCATGTATGGATAGTAAAATGTTTTAGCTTCTGGCATTTCACTTTAAAACCTTAGGCTATTATCTAATATACAATAAACTTAGCTTTGTGCTATATCAAAATATTTATCTAGCTTTCATTTGGATTATCTGAGTAGCTGTAATCACACAAGTATGCTGTGGAGTAATTGTACAAAATAAAATGATCGATACACATCAACATACAAAAACTATCTTTGCTTCATAATTTATACATTTACATTATAATCGTAATAAAACATTCAAATTTGTATTTTTATACATTATTTAAGGATTTTATAGTCCTATATATATTTAATATTTTTAGTTTTGTAATTTACTTATGAATATGGGGAAATGTATGTACAATCATGTAAGTTAAAAGAAAAATTATTAAAGATTTTTAAACAGTATTAAATAAATATTGTTATACAATTAAAAACAATATATATTACCAAAAATTAAATTGTAGCAAACATTAAGTTTGAAAATAATTAATTTAATGATATTCAAATATAACAGTAGTAAAGAAAGAGATAAATTATAAAAATAGAGCAATGGCCCTTAAACATTAAAAAAATTAATTACAAATATATATTTTTTATGATTACAAAGCTTAGATGGATACCTATTATGTTTAATAAAACTTAAATATTGCATATTGAAAAATCGATGACAAGAATCATTTTGATTCACTATTATGGACAAACTATGATCCTCATTGGTACATAGGGAGAACTGATAGTGGATCTTAGAGAAACTATAAAACTTTTAACTATAAGCGTGGTTTAAAGCCATAACAAATGAATCACCATTTGGACGTTGATCTGCTCCATGCGTGGAAGACACCAAGGTGTAAGGAGGATCAGTCTACCGTGGCAGGGGCTTTCTGTTGCTGTTGGGTCAGTTTCTTTCTTGCCAACGAAGGTGACATAATGTTCTGAGCTGAACTGGAGTGCTTCTTGTCTGGCGGAAGATCAAAGTTCACACGATTTCTAAACTTACCATCACCTGCAACAATGACACACAACTAAAGATCACTACTAAAAGTTTGGTTTTCTGAAACATACCTGTTGACTGGCTCAAAACTTTTAGCCTAAAAATTCAAAAAATGAATTCAAAACAAATTTGTCTAAAAAACTTAAGTAAAACAATGTGTCAACAAGGTTAAAGATGTAATAGAGCACAAGGGCCTAGGTTTTTAGGATTTCTTTTTTCGAGGATAGCAGGCTTACCTGAATGCAAGTCAAGTCAGTTGGAGAGGGAAAGAGTCCAAACTGGCACAAGAGACACAAAGCTTAACACTAAACACTATATACACAAATATTAGAACATTTTACTGTCACTGACAGCATTTTCAAATAAAGACGAGAGAGTTTGCTTTAGGTCAGCCTGCTATCCTCTAAATCTGTCAACAATACTTTTTCGTTCTGCTGTTTTGTTGCACTAGTATTAACTCAAATTATAGCAGATGATAGGGTAAATAGCCATCAATAAATAACAAGTGCTATCTAGTTGTTAAAGAAGTTTTAGTTGAATACTACAAAAAAACACGCACAATTACTGTAATTGGGAAACACAACCATGAACAAATCACAACAGCAGAACAAACTCGAAGATAATACTTTGATGACTTTAAAAGTAGGCCTAACACATTAGTGTCCTAGTACCAGTTTCCTGAACTAATTTAATTTTAACCACTATAATTTAAAACTAAATTTTAATTGAAATGATGACACTTGGGCTTAATAATTTATACAGAGGATTGAAATGGTCTCATTGTATATCATCTTGGCCTTGGTTCTTAGATACCCGTTTCAAATCCTGTCACTCACCAATACCTTTAGCTAAGTGATGATGCCTTGACCCTCTAGGCCTGAAAGCAACTTATAAAATAAAACTGTTCTGAGCTGGAGCCTAACGTCGACATACAAACCTATCTGCAAAATAATAGTAGTAAACAGATTTTTCATTGTAGTGCACTCACCGGTTGAGTCGTATCTGCGACGAGCCCCTGTGGAGTCGGCCCGTTGTCTAATGATGCCCCCGCTGCTGTATCGTCGTAGCCCCGCCGTGGACTCCCATGTGGCTGACTCTGACACTGACCTGTTGCGTCTCTTGGCTGCTGCAAGGCCCCGCAGACCCCCGGGATAACCCTCCATCTCCTCAGCCGGCTAAATAAACAGAGTGGTTAATAGCACCATAGTCATTGTCATAAAAACTACAACATGTTGCACATGGATTCAAACTGAAAAGTTCAAAATGAAGTGATGTTTTTTTTATTGACATGAACAATCCAGTTTTCTCTGGTAAAAGTTCACGACAGAAGGTAAAGGTAAAGATACTGCATGTGTCCAAGCCAACCGAAATCAAAATAAAAACTAACAACCAACAAGTTCACCTAGGAAATCAATTGGTTAATATTGCATAACAGTTTTTAGTTAATTCAAAATTGATTGGTGTTTGTTATCTTTTAAGGTGTTATCCGGAAAAAGGTTCTGTCATAAGAAGGTCGAAGAACCTTGTGTTATGATTTGTAAACTGATTTTACTTTTGTGCTTCAAACCCATAGCAGCCCAAAAGTAACCAGATATATTCTTGATAAAGTTCACAAGTTTAAATAAAAGACAATCCATTCTAAACCCTAATCTTATTAATTATTTGAAAACTTTTGATACAAAATTATTAGCTTACCTCGTATATTCTGAAGTCTTCTATCGTCTTAAAATTAGACAGGTGTTCTTTGAGCTTTGGTAGAACATGTAATTTCTGAGCATGTTTGTAGTATTTAAGGAATGCCCAAAACTTTTCAAGTCCGTAAAGTTGGCCTGCAAAAAGAAAAATTAATTAACCTTAAATTATTTCTACCAGTTTAAAGTTCTATCATTATTATAATTGCCTCATGTAAAATGATCTGGTAAAGAAGTCAACATTTGCCAACAACTTATAAACAATAAATACAATATGAATGACATATGTATTTAACACTGGTTTGCAAGTCCTACATTTACTGTCATAAGGGAAATAAAATTGACATCTTCGAGGAGTTCAAAATTTTTAAATCGATACAAAATTCGGATTTTAATACTTATATCCTCAATGACAAACTACAATTTAAGTCAAATATAATTTTTAACTCGCTACTACCACAAAGAAACAAATCTGATCAGCTGACCACAACAGATAACAAAGATAATTCAAACAGATAGCGCTGACTTGAACCCTCCATTGACAGTCTGTTCCCGCTCGAGTACCAGTAATGTTACGTACCCGTGATAGACAAAACAATATTTATATATTGTGCGTGTCGTGTGTTACATGTACTTGTCGTGCACTGAAAATAAAGCTATCCAAGCGGAAATAATGTATACTAGTGTCCCTGTTGCTAAGTATTACAGGCGTTATTTTAAAACGATGACTTTAGAAAGATTCGACTCAAAGATTATGGAAATACTCAAGATGTACATAACAGATCGATATAATTAACATTTCTTGTAATCTTATCATTTTTCAAAACCTGATCATTTCTATTTCTTCTCCTTTTTGGTGTTCTTTGACTTATGTTTCCATAGTTTGCAAATCGGCTCTTTCAATGATTACCAAGAAATGCAGCACAGTGTCGATTCAGGTTTCTTTTTAGTATATCAATTTATCCAGGCTCTCTCACTTTTTCCATTGTAATATTTACGCCAACCCAAATTCAAGTAGTAAATATTTCATTTCAACCAAGTCAGTAAATGTTTGTAGCACACTGTTAAATTAGCAAACTTATGGACTGTTTACAATTAACATATGTTCTTCTTCTCACTTTTAATTTCTGACAACAGCTGGAGTTTCATAAAAATTTTTTAGGGATGGGCGAGATTGGATTTTTAGTTCGAGACGAGACGAGATTTTTTATTTCTCATAAAATTTCGAGACGAGATCGAGACGGGATTTCCCTTCTCATACACAACGGGAAATGCATGTTCGGAATTTTTACCTGATTTTGTAACATTGTTAGATGACTGTTTAAATACAAAAATAATGATAATAGGCAAGAATATTTACAATCTTTTATTAAAAAACATCAGCATAACATTTTTTATTAATCATGCCTAACTTATTAAAAGTGCCTACGATTACGAAACATAGTGATATCAGTTAGGATAGAGTTCAACTTATCCTAAAATAAAATAAATCATAAAATAAAATATTAATTTTTATAAAATAGTTACTTGTTTTGACTTTTTTTATAGTAATAAAACATTCCTCACACTGCTAACACTTAACAAAAAACTCTTCAAATGTTATTAAAATAATTAAAGTAATATTTACATTTGAAGAATTAATTAAATAAGAACGCCTTCGCAAAGGAAACGCAACTACAACACGCTCCTGTATTGCGGGTATTGCATTGACTTTCTGCAGGCGTTTTTAATTTTTTTTTTTTTTTTTTTTTTCTCGTCTCGATAAAAATCTCGGCCAAAAAGAAATCTCGTCTCGTGTAACGAGATTTAAAAATTCCCGAAAATTTCCCGAAATTTCGAGACTTGACCATCCCTACAATTTTTGTTTCCCATGTTAATCTTATGGAGAAATATGAAACTTTAAAGGGCCCCAGCGCCTCACTCTCTAATTATTTCCCTAAAAAGAAAGTTTCCTGCACTACTTCACGTTACGCTCTTTCCAATGACACCAAAAACATGTCAATCGGTTCAGTAGTTTCGGAGGAGTAATTGTCACAAAAATCCTGCTTGCGTATTAAATAAGTATATATAGATTCCTGGAATGAAGTATTTGACAATGGTAGCTCGCCAAAACATGTAAAACTTTGATGAAGGTTACAATTTGGAACTGATAAAAGGTAATGAAAAACCAATTAGTCTAAAGGTAGCTGTAAAATAGTTTGTAAAAAGAAGGACTTAAGAAACTTCACCTAAGGACTAATAATGCAGAAAGAAATTTATAACAATACTAACATTTCAACTAGGAGTTTGGAAATGGAATAGAGTGCACACAATTTTGAGGGTTATTACTATGAATTATAGAGATATATATTATAAATGTCTGTAATATTTAAAAAGAATACTCACCACTCTCATAATCGTTAATAGTTTCAGTCTGAAAGTCTTTGTACAGTTCCGGTCGGAACTTCTTTTCTAGTCCATAGCTGTAGTATCTGAAGAGGCATTCAAGTCCGTACCTACAGATAAACAAACGTTATGTTTTTAGCATCAACAGAAACAACAAGGAAGTCTTGTTTGGAAAGGGATAGAGTTCATCTAACTTACTTAAGAAAAATATAGTTTACAGTTTAAAGGCTTAATAAATACACAATAAAAGGTAAACTAACAAAACACAGATTTTTTTGTCCTAGAGTAGGACTTCTTTTAAAAATAGAATGAAAAAATTATGTTCTTTTAAATCTACTTTCTCAGGTCCTATAGGCAAATTTCAGGATTTTGTTATTTAAACTTTTATTGTGTGTACCTGCAAAAGCCCCTGGACGCAATTTCCCCCAGGTAAGCTAGATGACGTCCTTTAAATTTTAAAGAGCTTCTTAATCAGGCACCAGGATTTCTCTTAAAACATAATTTAAACTATAAACAAGAAAACTAATCATAGATATTGATTAAGGAAGAGTTAAGTTGTATATCCCAAAAAAACCTTACTTTTACTTTTAGAAAAAAATACTGTTAGGTTTTCAACACTGAGAATACCAATTTCTCGGTAGCTAACATTATCTGATAACCAAATAGTCACCTGAAGCCAGATTTAGCATCTTCGAGAGCCAAGGTTTTGAATTCTTGATACATGTTCCTGTTGAAGTTTTCTCGCAAGAAGAACGACCAGAACCGGAAAAGCGTGTTCATCTCTTGTGACTGCCCTACGCCCAGTTTCTTGCGTTCTGTCAAATAATCAATCAGTTATAAACAGAATTTTTTTGGAAGCTTGTTGTTAGCAATAATCTACGTTGTTCAGGGAACTTAAATTAACTTTTAAATTTTAATGTGTCAACTCAAAATGTATTCATGCTAAAACGTTCCTCTCAATTCTAAATCCAGATTATATTAAAATAAACAATTGAAAAACAAATCGGTTTAAAGATAACCAGCGAGGTTTAATAAATTCTCAAAAGAAAATTTTTCTAATAGATTAACATTAATTATCAATTCATTCAAAATTTTGTCAACCTTTTGACACTATACCCGTTTTTCTACAATATTTGAATAATTTAGTCATTTTTTAATTCATAATGGTTTAGTGAACTCAGAAGTTGATCTTAATTTCATTGAGGTTCAAGGCATTCCCGTTACATTGACTACAAACAGACATTGCAGGTTTTGAGAAATTAAGAATTGGAGTCAGCGCAACCACAGAGAAGTAAGAAACAGAGGATACATTTAATGAATACTTAAGTTAGTCAGTCACTAGTGTCTAGAGAAAATTCTATTAGTCGCCCCATCCCAATCTTTTCCCCCTTGCCATCACATACTACAGCTATAGGAAGGCCTTTGCTGTACAATGCTATCAGGCTCTTCTCTTCTCGTTCCAAGATATATTTCCGCCCCAACATACCAGAGCTAAAGCGCACGGTTGTCCTCAAAGATTGTATTCTCTTTATCTTACTTCTCTGTGGCTCAATCTTAGTCTTAATAGCTTGTTTTACAATTTTCTAACATGGGTTTTGTCCAAATTAAACGGATAAATAAGATTAAAATTTATTGCCTTTAACTTCCTATAAAGTAGAATGTGATCAATGTATTACCTTTGAGACACCTGGAGTGGTACTTGTGGTAGACTTGTTGTGTAAAGTTGTTCTCTTTGAGCAGGGAGTGTGAGGGGTGCTGGAATGTAGGCAAGGAGCTAGGAGTGCCTCCTGAGAGGAACCCTTCGTTGGGACTGGTCCCTGTGCTGCTCCTGCAGGTTATAACACATTGTTAGTTAATAAATATCAAGTTTTATGAATGGTTGATGTATAAGATTTTAAAAAACACAGACCTTTTTTGTATCAGGATAATATATTAATGCCCTATACATTAACAGTATACTCTTGTAGAAAATCAGAAACAATTTTTTTAACCATAGGAAAAGTAAGTAAGCTGACTATATTTAGAAATTTACCATGAAAAAGTTTTATTAGATGAATTTTTTTGTCCATTCCAATCACGTAATGTCAGAGCAATCTTCCGAAGCGCTAGTAATCATAGTGCCTGTATCAAATACCCAAAGGAATTGTGTTGTGATTATGTAGACTTACCCCATGGAGGAGGTGCGAGGCCGATGTTCCCTGACGTCCATGATCCACCCCACATGATGCTCTACAGGAGGGTTGCTGGAGTGCCGAGTCTTGCGTTTGCGGCCCTTCTCTGGCCTCTCCGGGTCCTTGACTACGGCGAAGAACCTCGGAGCTTGTCTGTGAGGAGGGATCGGCCTTCTCACTCTACCACTGGACTCTGTCTTGCTCTGTTCCATGGCTTCTACCTCCTACAACAGACGATGGTCGGTCACTGATAGAAATTACCTTCTATTATTTACGATATTGTTATGGCACACTAAATTCACATAGTTTTAAGCCATTTCTGCATAGAACATTTATTTGTATGGTTCAGAAAAAAATGAGCGCATTTGCGGAAGCATTTTTTTAATTAGACGGCACTTTGCTGAACACTGTTGGTTTAATCTACTATATTTAAAAAAGTATACATATAAAAGCTGAGAATTAAGGAGACAAAGTAGAGTAGAAGCAGGCTTACCTAAAAAATTGTAGGCATCCCACTTCACTAAAGTAACACAAAAGAAGACATAAAGGAAATGCTGTATATTTTGCGGCCACTGGCCCCTTTTTCAACATTAAGAGTCATTAGATTCTGGAGGTCCTATAAGGGTAAAGGTAATTTTAAGGGAAGCCTGCTTATTAGGGGTCTGCGGTGCACCGAAAAAGTCGGTACGGTACGGTACAAGCTTAATTACCGTCATCGGTTCGGCACAGCATTTTACACGGTACAAATTCGGTTCGGTACAGCCTATTATAATAATAAATTACTTTCAGTTTACTATCGTAGTCAACGGCAGTTGGTTCCGAGCACATAAAAGTCTTATCAGATGTTTGTTTACGATCTTCATAATTTATTACTAGGGTGATGATGCAATAAAAAACCCATTAGCAGTCCCAAATCCATTAACATTTTATCACGACAATAATTGTTGTATTGAAGTACTTCCAAGAACTGTTGAGTTTTATCACTTTTATTTCTTTACGACTTTCCCCAATTCTGTTTTATCATAAAAATAATAGTTTTATGATGACTGTTAAATGTTATCTCTAACTTAATCAGTATTTTCGTGAATATTGAATTTGCCGCTGGCCATTGCCTACTGCCATAAAACTGTTTATGGCTACATATTAAACTTGTAACTAATCTACAATCTTATTTTATAAATTAAAATATTTGTTATGGATATTTTATCTTTCTATTGACGACCATGGATATACACAAACTTTTGTCGTGATTTTAATTTCAACATCAAAATACAATATTGCACAATCGTGATATTTTAGGCCATTGACCTTTACTATGCATCCGGTATTGCTGTTTCAGAAGAGAAGCACATTGATAAATTATAAATTGATATTCCCGTAGTTAAAAAGAATTATTTTATAAACCTATAAAACAAAATCATAAAATCTTACATAAAGATAACAATAACGGAAATTGTAAAAAGGGTATAAAGATAACAATTCTTTCTCTTTGTTCTTCTATTTCTTGGGTTTCCCTTCATCACGCATTCAACAAGTTGCCATGGTTACTAATCACCCATGTCGTTATCAGCTTTTGTGACATAGCGCACAGCAGGGGGTAAAACTTGACGAAAATCGGTAAATTTTTACCTATTATTTAATTACCAATGAATGTACTACTTTATTGGTATTTGGTATTGTATTAATAATTGGTCCAAATGGCAGATTTTTGTCAAATTTTACACCAAATTTATTGAAATTTCAAGGTGAATATTAATAAAACAATTATTACCAAATATTTGTATTCATTTAAAAGATTGATTTGTGGTATTGGGTTCCCCACTGAGTGCAGCCGAGCGGCACTAATGAGGGTCGGACCTTCTTGGGGGTGAACAATAGACGGCTTATCAGACCCTCCCCTCCCCCGTGGTCTGGAGAAAGCATGTAAACAAACTATTGCACAAGCGTGCGTGACTTGACATTGAGCTGCTTCAACTATAACTTTGTCAAATGAACTGTGATGTTTCAAAATCAAAAACAATAATTTGGGACCATACTGCTTAACAATAATGGACTGCAATTATTGTTGAACATACAATCCATTTTTAACAAACTAAGATTATACGATTCAAATACAATTATAAAAATTATCTTGGTATTTTACTTGGGGTAATGAAGTTATGTAGGCTAGTGTAATTCTCGGTTCATCAAGGTTCTACTGAATTATGTTTGGCAGTGAATAAGTGTAGAATGCAATTTATAAATTCAGGGATACACACCTTTTACACAGTTATAAAGTCTAATTGCCCAACATCAAATCTTACTCTGTGATAATCCAAATTTTAGTTTCAGAAAAAAAACTTTGCAAGAATTGTATCCATCTTATAACTTAACTAGTTTTGAAGCTGATAAACAAAAATGGTCTTTGCCATTACTTCATCATAACCTCCAGTTTTTCATTGTCATCTGCTGTGAACAGCTGGCAAAACTACACTGTCTTCTACTGAATGCTTTTATATGTTTTTAAAATAAAAAAAAAAATAAAAAAACTAGACATTGTGTTGGTTACCAGTTTTGTGAAATTATCTTGTCAATAAATGTTTCAAACATGTTTATTCATAAAAACTCTTATCCTATTTTTAAACTACTTTATCATGGCTATTCAAAGTATCTCAGAGTAAAATAGGTAAAGCCTTTATCTCAACTGTGATTTTTCTTGACACAATCCTCGTAGTAGTAAAAGGTTTTGTTTTAATAATATGTGGTACATTAATTGTTGTTAGAAAACCATGAATGTAGGATACTATCCATTTTCATTGTAATGGCTATGTATTAAAGTTAAAAATAATGGTTTAGATACAGTTCTGAGAAGAAAACCGCAAAAATACGGGTAGCCGCGTACCGTACCGATTTTGTACCGAGAACCGAGGTACAAAATATTGTACCGTACCGAACCGTACCGACCTTAAATTTTCTGTACCGCAGACCCCTACTGCTTATCCTTTGTTCGCTTAATTCTCACGCAATAAACCCTATCCAATCAAATAAAAAGCTGAGTTTCTGTAGAATAGCGTAGCGAAATTAATTTTTGATTGACTGCCAAACTGTCTAATGAGTCCTCGATTTGGCAGCTGTGTTCTAGGCAGTACTTACATTAGACACCTCCAGTAGGTCTGTGTCCTCATTGTGAGGGAAGGCAGCTGCTGTGGCCAGAGAGGGAGGTGGAGGAGGAGGTGCCTCAGGGTTGACCTTGCGAGGAGCTCTAGGAGCCATCTTCTCAAAGTCTTCCTGAGTTATGACATTCACAGTCTTGTAGCTACCAGATGACGACTGTACCTGTGATAATACATGTTGAATTAGGGGTCAAGTGTAGACCTAGAAAAGATTATTAATAAAGGGAAATACTAACAAAGACGAAAGATATCGTATGTTTGATGTTAGAGTTTAGTGACTGTATGTTTTATGTTAAGAGCTTAGTGACTGCCTGAATCTGTGAGTAAGATTTTAAGAATTTTGTAGAGTCGTATTTATTACCATATACTTTTTTGTGCCAGAAAAGTTTCAGATTTTAACATTGAAACAAGATTTTTGTTATAGGTATAATAAAGCTCCTATTTTCTGGAGTAATAAAGACGCTTTAACTGGTGATCTTATTTTCTTAGTTTTCTTTTTATCGGATAAGATATTTAAAATAATTCAGGTTTTAAAGGGCTATTAATTTAAAAATGGATGGAGAAGAGTATATTCTATCAGTATATTCTAATACATTGCAACATAATTTACAAATTTACAGTAGTGATGATTTGGGATTGGATTCAGCAAAAAACACGATTCAGCCTTTAACTCATTTTGCTCATACACAGCTAGGTCTTTTACTTTTCATTTGCCCATCCACATGGACCACAGAGGCCTGTGCATGGAACGTATACAGCAGAGAAAGGGGTAAGCCGGTTCAGTACAAGGATGAACTGTACTGATGAAAATAGTGGCAGGTACCAGGATTTGCTGCCTTTAGCCACAGAAAACATACTACTATAACCCACAATGCCAACCGCATGGTAAAAAGCATTAAGTGTTTTGAGAGAGCTTTGCCTGTCAATCGTAGGCAGCGCCACCAGCGTTGCCATACACCCAGCATAGCAACGCTGGTTGCGCTGCCTACGATTGACAGGCAAAGCTCTCTCAAAACACTTAATGCTTTTTACCACGCGGTTGGCATTCTGGGTTATAGTAGTATGTTTTCTGTGCTTTAGCCTATGTCTGTGGTGCTACCGAATCAGCCACTGACTCACCACTTGTTATTTTATGAAAGTGTAAACAATCCAGCTTTTAGGTTCACAGTTTGGACCCAACCTTTTACATGGAACATGTAATTTTGATGTAAAAACATTTATACAATCTTTCGCCAGTTACATACTTACCTGCCTACCAAGTCCTAACAAGAGATGCAGTGGAGGAAATATATTTACCCAGTCGTTTTCTGTCCAGAGGTTCTCCTCGTAGTACTGCAGCCCGATGTTGATAGCTTGCTCCAGGTCCTGGGTCATCTTGACCCGGGAGGTCTTGTCACCCGTGCGATCGTACCCGTCATGCTTGGGTCTTCTCGACGACCCGGCCGTCTGGGTTACAATCAGAAGCTTGTTGATCTCATGATCTGACAACTCGTAGTCGTCACTCTCATCCTCGGACCTGCAGCCAATGACAATTATTTTTGACATTAGACAGCATTGTGCCTGGGAGCTGAATATGAATGCCAAAATATTGTAGAATGGAGTGAGATGATACGTGTAGCTGTGTTACTGACTACGATATCAGCTGATTCTTCAGCCAGAACCACGTTAACCACCAGGATTTGTTTTTTTTATTAAAGACAAATGATAAAGGATGCGTCTGGGTCTAATAGTAAGTAAAAAATACATCTATAACTCAAATATTATACAAATGCAGATAAGTGGACTAAGGTCTACTGAGAATTAATAAAATACCTCAAATTCGTACTAAAGCTTGAAGGCTTCTCAACTCAAACGCAAGTTTACTTAATTACAAGTAATTACAAGTTTGTCAGTTAGAATCTTACAAAAAAAAGGAGAAAAGAAACAATTTCATATGCAAACTAATTGAAAGCTTATTTTAGGTAGGTTTATAAATGCTGAGTTCAACATTTTATCCAATATTAAACAAGTAGGTGTCTCATTTATTTATTTAATCATTTATTATTATTTTATGGCCAGCATTGGACCACTTAAGTCAATATAATGGTCAGATTCTTTTTAAATTCTGTTTCTTCTTCTTGTCCGCCCAATACTTCTTCATTCTTTCCGACCGTTGTTTTCTTTCTTCTTCCGAAACCACTCTTCCTTGTCTCTGATTGTTTGCTCCTATTGGTAGGATGATATTTTTGTCATTGAGTACTGCAAGCGCCTCTGACTTATTTTCTGTCAGAAAAAAGTAGGTTTCTCATATTATTCCAATATCTTATTTAAATTTAATCTAACAAAAAATCTACAAATTTGGTATTTTTATCATGTTTTCTATAAGGGATTAAAACATAAACATAGATTGATGAGTTAAACACAAGACTTATACATTTTAACACTTTTAAATGTGTTGCAAGTGTAATATCAGATCTTGCATTCAAATGAGTTTTATTTTTATTTTCTTATTTAAAAGAGGTTGGCGACCTCTCCTCATTTGCCCGTCCACATAGACTACAGATCTGTGCGTGGAACGTATCCAGCAAAGCAAGAAGTGAGCCAGTACAGTACGAAGGTGAACTGTACTAATAAATTTTAGTGTCAGTGACCAGGATCCGAACCCACGACATCACTGTCTTGGGCCCAAAGTCCGTGACGCTACCAACTGAGCCACCGACTCACCATTACTTTCTTAATTGTTTACTTTCTTAATTGGAAAAATTTCTTAAATCATAGAAAAATCAGTACTTTGGTATTATACAGAAACCACCCTTATACAGTAACGCTGCGGCGGTTAGGTTAGTTTGGGTTATCATAAATAGAAAGTATGACTCATCTAGTATCGCTCAATTTATAACAAAACGAGGAAAATCCTACAAACATATTTACAATAACACAACCTAACATAACCGCCGCTTAGCGCGCTGTAAAATAAGTGGCCTCTGTATAATATTAAAGAACTAAAAAATCATTTAGGGACTCAAAATGAAAAATAAGAAATACAACACAAGAGTTCAAATGTGTGAGCTGTTGCGTTTTACTGAATTCAAATGCATTTTGAATATATGCTGTTGTATCCATCCTAGTGTTGAGGCCAGCTTTAACTAGTCGAAGGGCCAAGAAAGAATATTTTGCACACAATCTAGATTGCAACAATCCTAAGAAGTTCTGGTCAACACTGTCTAAAAGTGGCGTTTTAGAAAGATGTGAAAAATAAAGCTCTTGTCAACTTCCTTCGAATGAATTAAATGTTTTTTGCAAGTATGGGATCAGGTAATAGAACTGATCAAAAGAGATTGGCATTTCATCAGGAAAATTACAGTGGAGAAGAATTTCAGATTTAGTGCTGTTACCAAAGAGCAGGTTATAAAACTATGAATAAAATAAGTTCAAATGCATTTGGTATCGATGGCATATCGATTGATATGCTAAAAGGTGTTAGCCCTTATTGTCTCTCAGCAATAACTCATCTGATTAATGTGTCACTAGAGACTGGAGTTTTCCCTGATGTTGAAAGCAAAGCATTGTGATTCGCTCCCGAAGTGCTCTATTCCAACTACTAGCAGCCACTTCCGCCCAATATCAATTCTGCCTGCCTGTTCAAGAATCTTAGAGAAAATATTTGTGGAACAGTTGTTAAGTTACCTGGAGGAGTCGGACATACTTTCAGAATCACAGTCGGGTTTCCGCAGAGGTTTTAGCACCTGCACTGCTCTTCTCAATATGACCGATGTACTTCTTCGGGCCAAGGGTTGCACAGCTTTATGGCGTCGCTTGATTATTCAAATACTTTCGACTCAGTTCATCACAACATGCTCATATCAAAGCTCAAGTTTCTAAAATTCCACGAGAGTACACTCAAATGGTTTTCGACATGTCTTTGTCACAGATCTCAGGTGACAAAGGTGAATGGTAGGTGCTCTGACTTGCTTCAAAGAGAAGTAGGCGTCCCTCAGGGAACTTGTCTAGCACCAATATTTTTCATATTGTATACGCATGACCTCAACTCAATAGCATTCTGAAATTCTCCACTTTACATCCCTACGCTGATGATTGTCAACTAGTTCTTTACTACACGCTGTACTAGGCAGGACGGCTTGCTTGAAATGCCGAGATTGCGGCTTGAGACAGGTAAAAAGGGGTTCTCATACTTTGGACCCCAGGCATACAATACCCTCCCAAGAAATATGCAAAGTCTGTCATGCAATTCATTTAAGGCGAGATTAAAGCTGGTTTAGTTTCACCTACTGTTAGTAATTCTGTATAAAATGTATTGTTTGTGACTTGAGTTGTCTTGAAAACCAGTTTTGACTGAAGACCGCTTTAAATAAAGGCATTTTTTTATTGTCATTATAACTATGAATAGAATAGCATCTAAATTTTCATGTTAAAGCTATTGCTAGTTTTAGATTAGTAATATACACAGTTTAATTCAATTCAATTTATTTACAACCATGACCAGTTTACATGATGAATTAATTAAGTACAGCATTTTTGCAATTAACAAGATGATAGGTAGCATTACAAGCAACATGCAGAATATAAAGTAAACAACAACTTGATTATTGACAATTAAAAAAGATTAGTATAAAAGATTATAATTGAGCCACTGGCAGACTACTTTGAAGAAAATTATTGATTAGTGTAGAATACGTTAACTTTTTGACTAATTCAGCTGAAAGGACAACTTTTTGTAAGCTCTCTATGTCATATCAACTGTCAAAGTGACAACTAATGGAGAAAATAGAATTTCAAACCCTAGCATTCTCTGCGAGTGGCTACTACTGGTTCAGCTAACTGGACATTGTCTACACACCAGTCAGTGAATGTGTTGTGTCTGCCTGTAGGAACGTCCAACTCTTCATCAAACTGAAAGTCCAGCTCTTCTCTCTCCTCTGGGGCCTGGTGCTGAAGAGATACTCTCTCCTGTTTGGGCCCTGCTGGCTTCACTCTCCTCTTCACCTGCAACACACATCACACATGTAGACTGAGAGTAAATTATCCTTAATTGGTGATTGGGGGTGTTTGGAAAATTAATTAAGCAACAAGAAAATTTAGATGTTTCCATGGACCATATTGTTAATATATTATTTTTAACTAGCAAAACTATTTAAAGACAACTTACTTCTTTCCATAGATCTTCTTCTGAAGGTTTGGTATTGGCTTCATTTGTACTGTCATCGCTTATCGATTTTCCTCCTAAAACCACGAGTAAATTGCTTTATTTACATGTTACAAGTTGTTATCAAGTGTATTTTGTATCATACAATTTTCTCTAAATTATATCCTTTTCCTTTTTTTGATTCTTGGGTTGTATTAATTGCGTAATACATTGAGTAAATTTTAATTCCGAAGAACAGTTATTGTAAATTTTAAGAAGAGGATTTTTTTTCTAATTTAATTTGGGATTTAATTAGTTTTTGGATTCTCTAAGAACGGGAATCTCACCGATTGCAGTAGCCAAAACTCACAAGGTCACATTGATTGCCGGAGATGATCACAATATTGTTGGTATAAGGAGCCTGTTTAGGGCATTTAAGGTTAATTGGATTTGCCACTGAGATTTTACCAGTCCTCATTTTTCAGTTAGGTACTTTTATTAAATCATGCAGTTTTTAGTACAAAAGTGTTTTATAAATTAAAGATACAGTGTTTCTTTATACATCTATTAAATAAGTGTCAGTTTTTATTGAATTTTTCTATAGAAATATTCTCAATATTTTATTTATAACCTACAAGAAAATTTTCACTATAAAAGTATTACCTGCATTTTCCACAAACGGTGTTATATATAAGGAATACACAACCTGCATACAGACTAAGCACAACTGAAGTTATATTTACAGTCAAGGAAGATAATACATTAACTGGAATCAAGATAAGTAATCAACACAAGTGACTAACCTAATATTCATTGTATATTATTTACAATGAAGAATTATTTTTTAACTTATTTTAATTCATAATGGATTTGGGCTTCTCATTTCATTTTGTTTGTTGTCTTTTTTACGGCTACATCTATGTTACTAAAACAGTCTAGGAGGATAATAAAATGAGTGATCTAAACATTGTTGAATCTGCAGCTTCGATTAGATTCGAGCTTAGTAAATTAATGAATCAATTTGGGGAAGAAAATCTTCAAAAACTCATTGAATTAAATGCCACTTTTTTTGATCATTGGAATGCTGATAAAGAGAAGAAATGTATGCTATTAAATAAGTGTGAGGAGTTAGAAGAACATATAGGGAATTTGGAAGCTAGAATCAGTAGTGTGGATTTAAAAAATAAGTCACTATTAAACAAACTGGAAGAATTGGAGCAAAATGAAATGGATGACAGCTTTCAAAAGAGTAATAATAGTTTTGTTAATTACACTAGCAGTCCCTTTTGTACCAATACACCAATAAAACAATTTATAAGCCTAAATGATAGTGATAAACAATTAAAAAATGCACAGAAATCGCTAATTGATGCAAACGAAAAACTGTCTAAGGCATTAAGTGAGAATGAGAAACTGAAACAATCGTTAAACAAGGCCGTAAAACAGGCAAAGCTTTACCAGTTACAGTTATTAGATAGCAAACAATGGTTGGAAGATGAGACAATATCAACATATTATGATGTAATTGGAAAGGAAGTATGTAACAGTAATGTCCTGCTGTTAAGCCCATGTGTAGTTCAGCTTCTAAAACTTGGAGATAGGCTATCTGTCACACAAAACTTAACAAAAATGAAACTAGAAAAAACTAAGTATATTTTCTTACCACTGAATGACAGCCTGACTACAGAAGATAGAAGTGGTACACACTGGTCACTGTTGGTGCTTGACAGAAATAAAATGTGTTGGTACCACCTCGACTCTTTTAAACAAAGTAACCATACAGCTGCAGCAATTCTAACAAATACAATTAATCAACATCTTAGTCTGACGTGTGATCTTAGAGAAGTTGAATGTTCTCAACAAACCAATTCACATGATTGTGGAATTTACACACTGTTGCATACGACCATGCTAGCAGAAAGTATCACCAAGCACGGACACCTCATTGACAATTTTATTGAGCCCATAACACCAACTATGGTTGTTAACAAAAAGTTAGATATCATCAAACTGATGTCAGCATGCTGGAAAGAAAGCTGTGTGTCCCCATCTCAATCTGCTGTGTCACACCCGAATGTCAAATCGTCAATCTCAGCGTCCACCCAGACTGAAGCCATAAATCATCAAACTCAAGAAGTTAAATCAAGCCCAATTAAGAAATGCAGGATAAAATCTGCTGATGTGATAGAATCAACTGACCAGGCAGAACAAAAAGTACATTTATTTGCAGACAGCCATGGAAGAGGACTGTCTGATATCATTAACACATATTTGCCTTCCACTAAAAGAATTGTTTCCTGGGTTAAACCGAATGCAAGAATTAACGATATACTTGACTCAGCCGATCTAAAAAGTTTCACACCAAAAGATAAGATAGTGTTTATGTGTGGTACAAATAATGTTGAAATTCATAGTGTAGAACACATTTGCAATATGTTGAAGATGGCCACCAAACTCTGTAATACAAGCATCTGGCTCTGTACACTACCATACCGACATGACATTCCGAGTAACAGTGAACTTCACTACAAAATATTTTTGATAAATAACTACATATGGAGACTCTCTGAAGAAAGCAGCAACATTGATATCATTGACATGTACTTAATAGAAAACAAATACTTCACTGAACATGGATTGCATCTATCAAACAAGGGGAAATCATTTTTGGGCAAAATGATTGCTAATGCAGTTGGTGGTCTAACACCTACCATACCCTCACATGATGATTCCAGAACAGGACTCTCATATTCCCCTCAAGAAAAATCTCAAATCCCCCAAAACTCTGATGAATCTGTCAGTCAGGCTATAACAAGCAAATCAAATAATGCCATGCTCTGTGGCGCTCTTCCTACTCATCTTTCTGGAACCAAACCCACAATACCTGAACCTAGTCTTAATAGAAAAAAATCCAAGATAAGAGTTATTAATGCCAACATGAATAATTTCATCAACGATTTCAAAAACCATCAGGACACGGCATTTGCTCACTCTATCTCTGCGGACATCTCCAGTGATAGACAGATGAGCGCTGGAGTGGCTGTTGTTTTTAAAAATCACTTTGGCAAACCAAGTTCATCAGACCTTTTAACGGACCACCTAACTTGTCAAAGAGTAACTAATGGTGCTACAGTGTACGGTTTGGTGACCAAAGACATCTATTACAGCAAACCTACAGAAGATTCTTACAACATGGCTTTCAAAACACTGACAGATGATTTTAAAAAACAAAGCCTCAAGAGACTCATTTGCTCCCCCATGGGATGTGTGAGAGATAACATATCACTCGACATTTTTGCCAATAATATTGTCAACTTTCAACGCTTGACCGGAGCCTCTGTGAATGTAATAGCTTTTCACGAAAAATCATCACGACCTCTGTGGAGCGGACAGACTTTTCCACTGTTTCTTAAAGCTTTGTGTTCTGCTATCTCAACAGCTGAGCAGAAATCAGAAGAACAGACGAGAGAAAACCTAGATGTAAACAACTGTGGAAATAAAACAACTACAGAATCTGCAAAAAGTTCTCCAACAGGTAACAAAGAATCCCAGACATGTACCATCACAACACCTTCTACAAACTCTCCTGGATTTAGAGGTTGGGAAACTCCCGACTCAATAAAAAGCATCGAGCTAAGCAATTTTTTAAGCAAACTTTCTACTAGTCCCAGCAATACCAACAACACAACAGAATCAAATGACATTCCTAAGGACCTGGTAACAACAGACAATTCACCACCTGCATCTGCTCAACCACCCTTGAGACGCTCTAAAAGAACCGGCATCAACAAAACGTTAGGTGTAAAAAGTCTGCAAAATTGTAAAAATAATACTAAGTTAGCATGTAAGCAAAATAGTTTTTTAGGCTGACTTCAGACACATCAGGACAAAGAAATAGTGAAATTGTAATTCTATCTTTAAATATTCAATCATTAAGGAACAAATTAAACCATCTTGAAATCATTCTTAACCAAACCCTGTCAAATATAGTATGCTTAAGTGAGCACTGGCTTAGTAATGAAGAAATTAACTTTTATGTCCCAGAAAATTTTGAATTAGGTACAAATTATTGTCGTCAATTTCCACTGATTCATGGAGGTACTGCAATTTATGTCAAACGTTGTGTAAATTTTGAAAAAATAGATTTGTCTGATTTTAGCTTTAACTTTTTACTTGAGGTATGTGCTGTTAGATTGTTAGATTATGACTTATTAGTTTTATCTGTTTATCGTACCCCTGATTCAAGCTTTACAGAGTTCTGTAGAAAATTGGAAGATCTTCTATTGTTTGTTTCATCTAAACCTAAACTTTTCAAGTACATCGCCCTGGCTGGTGATTTCAATATAAACATCTTAAACCATAATGATAAAGAGGGAAAGTATTTTTTGAATTTACTTAGGTCATTTGATTTGTTCCCAACCAATGTCAAACCAACCAGACAAACTGCTTGTTTAGACAATATTTTCACTAATGTCAATAATCAAGCCTTGCTTCACTGTTTTATTACTGGGGAGGGAATAATATCGGATCATTCTGGAGTGGTTTCAAAATTCTTGATTGGTAAAAATAAGAATAACAGTTGCTTAGTTAACAAAGAGGATTCTTACTATAGGAAACGCCTTGTATCATCAACAAGACTTGAAAATTTTGTCAATAGGTTAAGTAATATTGATTGGTCTACCTTGTATTCTATTAATGACATAAGCTTAGCTTTTATATATTTTCTTAGGGTTTTAATTTCAGATTTTAATTTATGCTGTCCTGTTGTAAATGTGAAAAGTAATATTAAGATGAATAATAGATGTAATAGTTGGTTTACTACAGAATTGGAGTCAATGCGTAAATATTTATTGTTATTGTATGACAAATGGAAATATAGCAAGAATGTAAATGATAGGAACAATTTTAAAAGGTACAAAAGCATGTATACAAACAAGATAAGAGAAGCCAAAATCACTGCTAATGACAAACTAATTGCTCAATCCAAAAATACATGTAAAAAAGCTTGGGAAATAATCAGAAAAGAATCAGGACAGATAAAAACATTTTCCAAAACAACTTTAACACCTAACACTCTCAACAATTTCTTTACTTCTGTTTCAAACAACACACAAAATAAACTCTATAATGATGATAATGTAATTACTCATCTTGAATTGTTGAGTAACTGCCCTAAGCCATATTCTAATACTCCTGACATCCAGATATTTAAATGGACCCTTGTTGATAAACATAAAGTGCATTCTTTGGTCTGTAAACTCAGTGGTTCCCGTAGTGAAGATTTGTTTGGACTCTCCAATTTTACTCTTAAATACATAGTTAATTTTATCCTAGAACCTTTAACACATCTTATAAATTTCGCTTTAATTGAAGGAAAGTTTCCTGATTGTTTAAAAACCTCCAGAGTAACGCCAATTCACAAGAAAGGCGACAAGAATGTCCCATCAAACTATCGTCCAATAGCTTTGGTTCCAATTTTAGGAAAAATAATTGAATCATGTATGCTTGAGCAGCTTCAACACTTTTTTACTGTTAATAACCTTTTATATAAAGGTCAATACGGCTTTAGAGCCAACTGTTCAACCACAATGGCTGTAGAAGAATTAATTAACCAAGTTTTGCAAGGGTTTGAGGACAAGTTGGTGACAGGTACATGCCTTATTGATTTGACCAAGGCCTTCGACACAATCTCCCATCCCATTCTTCTTGATAAACTATATTACTATGGCGTTAGGAACCGTGAACTCAACATCATTCAATCCTACCTGGAAAACCGTAAACAGCAGGTCGTGATAGGAGATGATTATTCTGATATTTTGGAATTGAATGCTGGTGTTCCGCAGGGGTCCATTTTAGGACCTTTCCTGTTTTTGATTTTGATTTTTGTTTTTGATTTTTATTAACGACTTTAGTTTTAATATCCCTACTCAATCTATACTTTATGCTGATGATACTACCCTGTTCTGTAAAGATGATAATGTTTTAACAGTTGAGTACGATCTTAATCATGCCCTAAACTGTGCTAAATTCTGGTATAAAATCAATAATTTGGCTATCAATGAGGAAAAAACAGAACACATCTACTTTTCACTAAAAAAAGATCAACCCACTGATGCTTATAAAACAGTCAAACTCTTAGGCATCCATCTTGACAACAGACTAAGCTGGGATACCCACATTACACAACTTTGTAAAAGATTGGCTAGAATAACCTGTCTCTTGAGAAAACTTAGATCATGTGTGAGTTTTAACACTCTAAAAATGACTTACTACGGTTTGTTTCACTCACAGCTGCTTTATGGTTTGCGTCTCTGGGGTGGTTCACACTTAGCTCAGAAAGCATTTGTTTGGCAAAAGAAAGCTCTTAGAGCCATGCTAGGATTGCAAGATCATGAATCCTGTAGGGATCACTTTTCCAATTTAAATTTGCTTACACTGCCATCTATGTACATTCTTTGTAATTTAATTCATATAAAAAACAACCCCTTAAAATTTTCAAGCTATTCTCATCCATACAACACGAGACACAAAAACAACCTAGTCACACCTCAAATCAGACTTTCAAAAACTTTAAATAGCCATTTTTACATCCAACATATTTTCTTCAACAAGCTACCCACTTGTTTTCGTGAACTACCTCTAAACCAATTTAAAAGAAAAATTACTGAGTTTTTAAAATCAAAATCATTCTACACGCAGGAAGAATTTTTAAATAGTGACATATCATGTTTAGATTCTAAATAGGATATTGTATGTATTGAAATTTATAATTGATGTATGATCTATTTTTAAGTACTATTGTAACAATGCCTATTACAAAATGTTATGTTTAATGGCTGCAATAAATCTTATTGAATCTTATTGAATCTTATTGAATCTTATTGTCACTCCAATCTCAAAAGATATACTTTTGTCCCCACTTTGAAAGTGCCCAGCTTTTTAGCCAACAGCCTTGTTCCAAAAAGTTTACAATAAATGTTTTTAAAATGATTCCTTACAACAGGTCAATATTTATTATTTGATGTTTCATTATAAAATGTTCAAGTCAATGAAAACAGGCTACTCACCACCTCAGGAAGGGTTAAGAGTTGAAACAAAAAATGAAATTATAAAACATTGATAACACTTTTAACCATACCTTCAGTAAAAACATAAAAAAACTGGCGTAAACATAATATAAGATACATGATTACAGCACATACATTATAAAATAAAATTTGCCTTAGGTTGCAGAAATATTAAGCTCACACATTTGAATGGTGGTTTTTGTAACAGACAAATATGATCCACGGTCAAGGACCAAGGAAGACATTCAACTTTTTGCCACAATGGTGGAAATAGTTGACATTGTTTCTGTGACCGCGGGAAACCATGATGAAGACTAAACAAGACCAAGAAAGATGTTGAAGATATTGCCGCAATCGCAGAAAATGATGACGAGTTTTCATGGCCGCGAGAGATGATAATCATGTCCATACAACCGCGGGAGATACTCAAGATTTGGCCGCGATTATGGAAAATAATGAAATGACAATGTTTCCGTAACCGTGGAAGACAATGATGATGTCTACACGATCATGTCATATATTTAAAATTTTGCCGTGATCACAGAAGACTATATGACCATCATGTTTCCATGACTACTGAAGACAATAATGAATAATGATGACTACAAGACCCAAGAAGATGTGCAAGATTTTGCCAAAAACGAAGACAATGGTTCTGTGCCCGCGGTAGACAACAAGGTGTCACATCCGCTAAAACCGTAAGAGGTTTAGGATCTTTCCCCGATCATGGCTTTTGCCTCCTTTTATAACGATTCTTATGACTGAGGTAAATTCTTTCTGCAAGCGATTTGGATGGTCGGCGATTCGAATAGTTGGAGTTAATCTTCATAAATAAGCAAATGTATTATTAAAAAACACACACACTTGCTATCTCCACTTTCCTGAAAAGTCCCCCAAAGTTGTTTAAAACTATTTTTTAGGTGTGGATTCTAGGCTAAAATGTTTCAAAAGGTGTTAAATGGCTGTTAGGATACACAACCATAGTAATTTCTAGAACTAAATCATTTCCGCTTGTACAAAATGGTACATTTCTCAACGATGTATTATTTTTTTTTTTTAGTGGCACAACGGCGAATATATATAACTTACCTTTTTCTTTCTTGTCGACTTTACTCTCAGCGACATCCGAGGTATTTGTACGTTCAGGCTTGTCCTTGGTCTCACTGACAACATCCCTGTCCTCTGTAGTTCTGTGGTCTGACTCACTGATGGCAGTGTCTTCCAAGGCCTCTGAGCACTCGTCCACAGGGTCCGACGTTCCGTTGACTACTGGCTGCACCACAGGCACAAACTCGGGTACGTTGGGGTTGAGATTATCCGTAGGACCAGCCGTGTAGGGGAGGGGAGGTGGTGGCACCACTGGCATAGGGAACACCGGGGCTCTGTGCATGGGTGGTGGCAGAGGGGTGAGTGGCGGCACTGCCATCAAGGGTGGACCTAGAGGGTGCATAGACAGCGGATGTTGGGGGGAGATGATGAGAGGATTGCCAACAGTGTCCGGGATAGGCCACTTGGTGGGGTCGTGTATTGTCCTGACCTGCAAGATACAGGTTGTTTAATACATAACATTCAGATATAGTTCAGGATTTAAGATAATATACAGATTTTTATACTACAAATTTTACCATCAGAGAATAACAAACCAAATAATAAACTGTATTTCCTTTGGTCAAATTTCCGGAGAATGAACTGAATGGACAGATCAGAAAAGCATAGGGCAAAAAGGATAGTAATGACTTGTTGCTTTGTTTTTATAAATAGCACTGGGGAATAATGGAAGCAAACTACCTGTAGGCAGTGCTGTGCTTTCCAAAAATCCTATATATTAATAGGTGATCTTTTTTAGATGATGGTGAGCATTCCTTCACAGGAAAATTTAAGACTGGGTACACCACTGCTTGTAGGAACTTGTCTGTCTGTTTGTTTGCCTTCTTCTACAACGTTCGCTCTCAAATATCAATAATTTTAATTTTGCAAAATATTAATTAGGATTCAGTTGAGTCTATTGAGTTTAACATTAAGAAAATATCAACATACTCAAAATTTGTTTTAAGGAAAAAAAAAAGTATCAAAAAGAGCAGTGTGATGTACCTTGAAAGCATCAGAGGTCAGTTCAAGCTCCTTGCTCTGTTTGATGGCCTGCAGGACCTTGTTGATGTCCAGTGTCAGGGCTCGGACCCGATGGAAGGAGGCGATGAGTGTGACAGGTAAGTAGCCATCAGCATCCATCTTGCGTCTCAGGAACAGATCCTTCATCAGGTTTTCCTTGCTGAAGTAGTACTCTCTGTAATATACAAGACAGTGTTGAATATGTCAAGCCTTGGACCCGATGGAAGGAGGCTATGAGTGTGACAGGTAAGTAGCCATTAGCATCCATCTTGCGTCTCAGGAACAGATCCTTCATCAGGTTTTCCTTGCTGAAGTAGTACTCTCTGTAATATACAAGACAGTGTTAAATATAATGTCAAGCCTTGGACCCGATGGAAGGAGGCGATGAGTGTGACAGGTAAGTAGCCATCAGCATCCATCTTGCGTCTCAGGAACAGATCCTTCATCAGGTTTTCCTTGCTGAAGTAGTACTCTCTGTAATATACAAGACAGTGTTGAATATGTCAAGCCTTGGACCCGATGGAAGGAGGCGATGAGTGTGACAGGTAAGTAGCCATTAGCATCCATCTTGCGTCTCAGGAACAGATCCTTCATCAGGTTTTCCTTGCTGAAGTAGTACTCTCTGTAATATACAAGACAGTGTTAAATATAATGTCAAGCCTTGGACCCGATGGAAGGAGGCGATGAGTGTGACAGGTAAGTAGCCATTAGCATCCATCTTGCGTCTCAGGAACAGATCTTTCATCAGGTTTTCCTTGCTGAAGTAGTACTCTCTGTAATATACAAGACAGTGTTTAATATAATGTCAAGCCTTGGACCCGATGGAAGGAGGCGATGAGTGTGACAGGTAAGTAGCCATTAGCATCCATCTTGCGTCTCAGGAACAGATCCTTCATCAGGTTCTCCTTGCTGAAGTAGTACTCTCTGTAATATACAAGACAGTGTTTAATATAATGTCAAGCCTTGGACCCGATGGAAGGAGGCGATGAGTGTGACAGGTAAGTAGCCATTAGCATCCATCTTGCGTCTCAGGAACAGATCCTTCATCAGGTTTTCCTTGCTGAAGTAGTACTCTCTGTAATATACAAGACAGTGTTGAATATGTCAAGCCTTGGACCCGATGGAAGGAGGCGATGAGTGTGACAGGTAAGTAGCCATTAGCATCCATCTTGCGTCTCAGGAACAGATCCTTCATCAGGTTTTCCTTGCTGAAGTAGTACTCTCTGTAATATACAAGACAGTGTTTGATATAATGTCAAGCCTTGGACCTGATGGAAGGAGGCGATGAGTGTGACAGGTAAGTAGCCATTAGCATCCATCTTGCGTCTCAGGAACAGATCCTTCATCAGGTTTTCCTTGCTGAAGTAGTACTCTCTGTAATATACAAGACAGTGTTTAATATAATGTCAAGCCTCGGACCCGATGGAAGGAGGCGATGAGTGTGACAGGTAAGTAGCCATTAGCATCCATCTTGCGTCTCAGGAACAGATCCTTCATCAGGTTCTCCTTGCTGAAGTAGTACTCTTTGTAATACAATATACTCTACTACTAATATAGGGCTAAACATCATTTAGCCGTGTGCAAGTGATGTCTAACGATATCCCTGACTTTGGAGTGACTACTATGCGAATTTGTCAACACAATTTAATCTGGCTACAATTATTATTATAAATAAAACTTATTAACATTGACGTAGTAGATCTTAAGATATTACAATTATACATAATTTATAGTTTGCTAGCTTTTTCAATCATTTTCTTTTATTTATTACTTTGACCTGTTTTTAAGTTTTCAAATAATCAAAATTTTTTAACATTGACTTAATTTACATTAATAATACTTAAAGGCAATTTAAACATTGTATCAATGGCTGTGTAATCGAATTTTGGACTCTTTTGTGACTTTTATAGCTAGCTTTGAAAACCAATAGACTTTATTTAGCTTGAGCTTCAGTTGGTTTTAATTGTTTATTTAAACAGTAAACAAGTGACTGCAATTTTAAAAACACCCTACAAGATTTAGTGGGAGGATAAATTAAAGAAAAGGTGTTAATGGACAACGATGTGTCTATTACTTTAGAATACAACGTACTTTAGAATACTTGATAGAAAAGCCGTAACTGGTTATCCAATGAGTTATAAGACGGTGTTCAGCTGTCAATCAGTCTGTTGAAGTGATTATTGACAAACTGAGTCACTGTTTGCTCAACACATATGCTTGTCATCAAAAGTTTATACTAGCCAAAGATTTCAACAATTTGACTATTGTTAACTACAATTAAAATGCTCAGCTTGGATTTGTAATCAACAACAAATTTCAAATGTAAATACAGTAGAAGCTCCCATTTTTTTGAAATAAATGAATAGTTACTCTTTGGTAAAATGAAAACAAAATCTTAACCCTCCGAGTGTCCCTCGTTTTGGCCTTAATGTCTGCCTATTTTTTGCTCATTTGCAAGGTTTTATTAAAACGGATCTGAGAAGCTTGAAAACAATGTTAATTATACTGTTCTATATACCATTTTGTTTGGAAAATCATGGGCTTCAATATTATACATAAAACATAAGGAACATTTGTTAAAAAAAAAATTGTTAGGTAAAAAAAATATTTTGGAAAATTTAAAAAAAAAAATAAGTTTGCGCTCAATGAAATTGTATAAATTATAGGCCTATAAATATTTGATAATAGCCACTTTGTTCTAAATTTTATGAGGATTACAAATATACAGGGTGAATTTTAAATGAGTTCCCCCCTACTTTTTTCTACATTTCTTAAGATATCATCTCCGGACTACGTTAGATCATTGTTTAGTAGAAAGTACTTCATTTTGACTAGGTATACATTTTTGGCCGCCATCTTGGATCCGCCATATTGGATGCAAAGTTTTTTTTTCAAATGTTAAGGTAGGGTTGTGACCCATTATTTCAAACTAGAATTTTACGCTGATTACAATGCCGCAATTGGTTTTTAAAAGTCTTGATTCGTTCTAAAGTTATGAGGACTTTTTATAACTTTATTTTTAGCGCATTTTAACATTGTGCATTTACAAACTAAGACCATAATTTCAAAATAGTGCTAGATAAAGATAAGTATACACCACCATTCATTGTCGACATATTTTCACTTGGTTATGATGGATGTAGTTTTTTCAGCCGCCATCTTGGATCCGCCATTTTGAAATGTGATCAATTAATTTAAATATGAAGGTGGTGTTGTGACCCATCATTTTGAGTTACTTTTTTATGCTGAACTCAATGCCGCAATCCGTTTTTCATTTGCATCTTTGGATTTTGAAATATTGAAATTTTAAATAAGAGTATTTTAATATTTCATCAAGAAAGCTTGATAACCAAAAACGGATTGCAGCATTGAGTCCAGTATAAAAAAGTAGTTCAAAATGATGGGTCACAACACCACCTTCATATTTAAATTAATTGATCACATTTCAAAATGGCGGCTCCAAGATGGCGGCTGAAAAAACTACATCCGTCATAACCAAGTGAAAATGTGTCGACAATGAATAGTGGTGTATACTTATCTTTATCTAGCACTATTTTAAAATTATGGTCTTAGTTTGTTAATACACAACGTTAAAATGGGCTAAAAATAAAGTTATAACAAGTCCTCATAACTTTAGAACGAATCAAGATTTTTAAAAACTAATTGCGGCATTGTAATCAACGTAAAATTCTAGTTTGAAATAATGGGTCACAATCCTACCTTTACATTTGAAAAAAAAACTTTGTATCCAATATGGCGGATCCAATATGGCGGATCCAAGATGGCGGCCAAAAATGTATACCTAGTCAAAATGAAGTACTTACTACTCAACAATGATCTAACGTGGTCCGGAGATGATATCTTAAGAAATGTAGAAAAAAGTAGGGGGGGAACTCATTTAAAATTCACCCTGTATAATAATATAAGAAAGTAGATTTGCAAATAAATAAGTTATGGGCAAAAAACAGATTCAGTACATAGCGTTTAGCTAAGAATGCATAGCCTAACCATAGCTAGGAATCTGGCTGATAATTTACATCAATATCACTACCTACTTTTTCAGGATCATCAACCAGCCCTTCAAAATCACTTAAATCTTCTTATAATGCACCACGTATATCACTACTTTTGATTTTTAACACTAAAACAATTATAAACGTAATAAAACACATCAGTCATCGGTGCGAGGTTAACCAAGCTGTTTACAAATACGCACGTCAGCTGTCTGCTACAATATTTTCGGAACTAAAATGAAAAGCGCTTAGAGACAGACCTCCGGAGAAAGCTCTGAATCTGCCAAATAAAACGATACCTAACTCGATCCAGTTCAATCCGATTTTGTCAGTCATAGAGCCTTCGCCGTAAACAGTGTTTGTGAGTCGATGCATCGACACAAAACACTACACAAAGTGTGTTATGTGTCGAAGCATTGACAAATAACACTCGGAGGGTTAATTGAGGTAGCTAATTTTTAGGCTGCCTAGTTTGTTCCTTAAACATATTAGATTTAGTAAGACAATTTATTATTTTATTTCACCATAAAGTGAATGTTTTATTACTCATCTATCTAGTTTTTTTATAAATATAAATGTTTAGTTTACCTGTTGTGTCAATTGATCATTGTATTATAAATAAAATCTACAGCTACTTCGTGCTGCTAAGAATGAGGTCGTCAGCACATTTAGAACACATAATACTAAACTACATTTAGGTAATTAGAATTAAAAACTTGGCCAAATAGTCCGAACACGAGGTGCGTAACTGGTAGATGATGATCCATATTCACGAATGAGAAAACTGTATTTTAACGTTCTTCCAACCTGAAGATATGCTCGCTTAGCAGCACGAAACAGCTGTAGTTATTTTATTTATTACACAAGGATCAATAGACGCAACAGGTAGACTAAACCTTTTATATTTTGCATTATCTTGATCCAGAGGCTAACCCATTATAGTTTTTTAAAGTTCAAAAATTTTTCTCATTAACCCTTTAGTTAAACAAGTCTTTGTTTTTTAACATTTCACATAGTGATTTTAAAGTAATTTTTTTATGATTTGTATTTGTTGTTAGCAACATGGTATATGCCCATAAAATGTCATACTCGTAAGGAACAAGTTCTACTACAACAGACAGAAATTTGTGATAAATTAGTAAAACTAAATCAAGTAAACAGTCCACTCACATCTGTTTTCGGATACATTCCATGAGTGTAGAATCATCTAAGTTGCGGTAACTTGAACTATCGAAGTAGAACGTTCCCATGAATGGCATCATGAAGCCGTCTGGGTTACCAAACTTGTTGATCTGAAACAGAACCATCATGAACTAACATATTTTGGGGATATATGTGAAGCTACGGTTTACAAGATCTCGCCAGCGTGATCTGTCTGTTGGCGCTAATTTTTGTCCGGCGGATGTCGGATCAAGCTCGGCGTGGTTTGCAAGAAAGTGGACTTCGCGGGGAGATGAGCTAGTTATCAGTTTTAACTAACTTGGACGTAACTAAGAGGAGGAGGAAGAATCCATCTTATTTGAAGGTTTTGTTCGTATGGAACCACACCCGATGTATGAAAAAATGAAAGATGAGGGCTACTTCAGGATTTTTATATCAAGATATTTGTTAATTTAAAAGCATTATTATTTCATTAATATGGATTATTTTAAAGCACAATTAATTTAAAACAGTGTTATAGCTCAAAACAAAATGTGGATCCTCAAGAGTCCTACACTTGTCCGCTCGGCGTGCACGCCAGAAATGACTGGGGTCATTTTCAGCGTGCCACGCTCAGGACTCACGCCGGAAAGATGGCGGGAAAACTCATGTCCGGCGTGATTGCTTGCTTTTGGAAACCGCACCCATATAAAAACATGGATTCAATTTAAACTTGATTACGTTATCACACTTGTCCACTCATGCTGTCCGCCCTGCATGATCTTGGAAACCATAGCTTGACTTGGTATTCTGGTGGTGATAGCAAAACCACGTTAATTACATTGTTAAGCCATTATTATGTACAAGGATAGGGATCAGCTAGCTTACCTGGTAGATAGAGTCCAGATTAGCCTTGATTACACATAAAACACATGACACAACACAGAAAAACTTAATATTTCGTCCCAGTTAGGGACTTCATCAGAAGGGAGAAGAAAAAAGGGAGAAGAAAAAAAAGGCTTTCTTCTCCCTTCTGATGAAGTCCCTAACTGGGACGAAATATTAAGTTTTTCTGTGTTGTGTCATGTGTTTTAAGTGTAATCAAGGCTAATCTGGACTCTATCTACCAGGTAAGCTAGCTGATCCCTATCCTTGTACATAATAATCCTAATCAGCCAATTGGCCTTTCCTTAACTACTAACCTATATTGTTAAGCCATTGTGTTTTCAGAAATAGTGATGGTCAAAACCAGAAATTATCTCGAAACCGAAGCTTTAAAAAATTAAATCCCGAATCTCAAAACCAAAACGCGGGACTTCTTTACTTAGCTACTAGGTTACAAAGTTCAAGGTTACAATTAATACAGATACCTATTATCAAATTGTTAAGATGCAATCAAAACTGAAAGAGATCGACTCCTGCCCCTGACATAATAACATAAAAACGTGACTGATAAATGATAAACTTAAAACCCAAAACAACATTGTTTTTTATAAACAGCCAACATTATAATAAATTGATCTCCAGACACTGACTTAAAGATGAATATTAGATTGATTAAAACATTTAGTGGTCAATATTTCTTTGTATTTTAGTAGTCTAAATATCGTTATGAAACTGAATTGTATGTCGTTCCAGTTATAGTATTTAAGATGAACTTTTGAAGTTCAGAATACAATTTACTTGTTTCATTACTGTTAATTGTTATCTGTTTGCTCCACTGCTACCAGCTTGTGTGGAAACAGTGTTAAAACAATAATAATGACGCAAAAAAAAAATGTTAGCTAAAAAATAAAACTGTCAAAAACTTTTGAATCTCGATACTCTGTGATCGAATCTTGAAACCGAGACTTTTCCATAGTTTTGATGGTTTTGACACATCACTATTCAGAAACAACCTGAACAACGTCCTAATGGCAACTAATATTCACTAAGATTTTATAAGTTTGTCCATTGACTTTAGCTACTGAAGATGCCATTGCATCTACAGACCAGCTGTAGCAAATCTTCCATTGAAATAGAAAATAGTTGAATGAGCAACTCGCAAGAAACTAAAAAAACTGCCGAAATTCTCTTTCTCCATTTAGCTGTGTTTACATGAAGGCAGTTGGCAGGAATGTTACCTGCCTCTGGTAATTTGAAATACATTAGTTGTGTAAACACAGCTTTTATTCTGATACTGTGGTTAGTTGGTGTGACTTAAGATGCTATAGTTTACAATAAGCTATGCTTTTAGTTTGGCTTGGCTAAAAAGTTTTTGTATTTGACAGAAATCAGTAGTTTACAACAGCACACTTTGTGATTGGCTCAATTCACTATGTTCATGTTTCTTCATAACTGATAACAGCTGTAATATTTCAATGGAATATTTCATTTTAACAGTAGTAAACTATCTGTTTTGTTCGATTACCAGCAGGGTCAATTCTGAACGTAGATAGCATTTGACATTGGGTAATTAATGATGCTATCAAACAAAAAAAGGTCGGTGTTGGATAGTGAAAAGACCAGGATTTGGACTGTTACCATAATGCCATAAACCATAAAAACGCCCATTACAATTTTTTAAGTGTTTGTAACTAGCGTTATTTGTATTTACTGTTGATGTTTAAAGTTGGGACGTCAAGTTAATACAATTCTACACTTATATAGGCTTACCTCCGTCAGTAGTCCAAAATTGTGTTTTTTTCAACTAATGTTGTTCAAAGCTTACATGTTTCGTTGCACTGCAACATCGTCAGAGCTTTTTGTCAAAAACATAAAATAATTTACACATAGAACAAAACACGGAACACGAAACATTTAAACACGTAATAACACGATAGCGCTATCGACACGGCACGGCAGCGGTTGTAGGTAGACTGGACACGGGTTAAGTAACTTCGTCCCGTCCTTCTCTGTTATCAGCTCGGTGGTCAGCTGTTCCAGATGAGATAACGGTGTTGAAGAGGGAGTGGGACTTGAATTGTAGTTTATCATTGAGGATGTATTCCTTGTGTTCTTCGTTTACGTTCATTTTATATATCTCATACTCCTCAAGTGTGTCCAACTTGTTACCTTTCCCGCAAAAATGTAGAACTTCCAAGCCGTTCTTAATATCACTCATTGAGTGATTACAATCTACAAGATGTTGAGCAAACGCAGATTTTTGTTTATGGTGTTTAGGATCTGGTCGGTGTTCTTTATATCGTGTTTGAAAGGCACGACCTGTTTGCCCTATGTATTTGCTAGGACAATCCGAACAAGATATCCTATACACGCCGGTCTTATCTACTTTGTCACCTATCTCAACTTTATTTGCCAACACGTTCCTGGTACGGTTGGTGGTTCTGAAGGCTAGTTCAATACCTTGTTTAGCGAGTTCTTTCTTTAATGCGTGTTGGATAGTCCAACACGCATTAAAGAAAGAACTCGCTGTTTATATCGTTTTTTTATATCGTTGTTTATATCGTGTCCAGTCTACCTACAACCGCTGCCGTGCCGTGTCGATAGCGCTATCGTGTTATTACGTGTTTAAATGTTTCGTGTTCCGTGTTTTGTTCTATGTGTAAATTATTTTATGTTTTTGACAAAAAGCTCTGACGTTGTTGCAGTGCAACGAAACATGTAAGCTTTGAACAACATTAGTTGAAAAAGACACAATTTTGGACTACTGACGGAGGTAAGCATATATAAGTCATTATTCGTAGTCCAGGGGCTATCAGAATGAAAAATAATAACAATTCTACACTCTACAGTGACAGTGACTATAGAACATAGAATGATTATCATGAATAGTGTATGGCCTTGGTGTGACCTTCAACCAGTTGTTAATAAGCATTTCAAAGAACAATATGACATAAACGAATACTATTAAACAATTTCTAAACATAAAGAAATTTTCAATGTAAAGAAAGAAATAACAAAACATTAAACAGGCCTCAAGAAAGAGCAAAAAACGGAAGTACAAAATTAGATTTGTGTTGGTTTTCAGAAGGCTTCTATCAGATCCACCTATATCAATCTTACTGTATAAGAGAATGAGGGCAGATTGACACTTTGATGTTTTGAACGTTTTTTAAGTACAGTAATTTGCATAGATTTTGAAAAAGCGTTTGACTCCGTGAACCATCGAGTCCTGTGGCAGGTTGTTGACAACTTTGGAATCCCACCCAAACTTGTGAATATAATGAAGAGCATGTACCAGGGATACTCTTGTAGTGTACTGCACCGTGGGAAAGTTTCTGAATCAATTCAGATGACTTCTGGTGTAAGACAGGGATGCATCTTGTCGCCAATATTATTTCTGGTGGTACTTGACCGTGTCCTGAGAAGGGTGACTGCAGCTAGAAGAGGCATTCAGTGGGGACTTGCCGAACATCTGGAAGACTTGGATTTTGCAGACGACATATGTTTGCACTCTCATTGTTTAAATGACATGAGGAGTAAATTGAAAGATCTCAAAGATGCCGCAGAAAGAGCTGGTCTACAAATAAATGCAAGTAAAACTAAAGAGATGAGGGTGAATGGCCAATTAGAGGATAAATTGGAGGTAGGTGGCTCGAGGATAGATCAAGTAGAGTCTTTTGTCTACTTAGGAAGTGTTGTAGCAGCAGATGGAGGAGGAGCTGGAGATGATGTTGAACTAAGAATAAGGAAAGCAAACGCAGCTTTTGTCCAACTAAAACCTGTTTGGAAAAGTAGAAACATCTCACTCCACACCAAAATTTGAATATTCAACACTAATGTTAAAGCGGTCCTGCTTTATGCTTGTGAAACATGGAAAGTAGACAACAAAATTACCTCCCAACTGCAAGTTTTTATAAATAGATGCTTGAGAAAGATAAACCAGATATGGTGGCCTGACAGAATAACAAACGAAGACCTTTGGAGATGAAGTGGCCAAATGCCAATCCATATAGAAATCAGAACTGGATTGGGCATACCTTAAGGAAACCAGATAGCGCAATAGAGAAGAAGGCCCTAACATGGAACCCTCAAGGAGCAAGGCGTAGAGGTCGGCCAAAAAAAACACTTGGAGGAGAACGGTTGAAAAGGAGGCAGCTACAGAGGGAAAGTCCTGGGGGGAGCTCAGAAGACTGGCGGGAGAAAGACAGGCCTGGAGATGTCTCGTGGACGCCCTATGTTCCGATTGGAACGACAGGAATTAAGTAAGTCAATTTGCATTTGGTCCCGAGGAGTCCGGATAAGAGGAAGTCTATTGTAGTATTTTAGAAGGTATTTCCAATACATTTTTTTAGAAACAGTATTAACATTGTACTTGGAGCAATATCAAAAGTACTATTTTGTTTCCTAAGAGCCCAGGATTGTTTTTACATTACTTCAGGCTAGACCTAGGTTGCGGCATTATCACTTAGATGATCCATTGGTGATTTGGCGGGATTTGAACCCAGGACCTCAGGGACCGAAGTCCCACGCTCTAACCACTAGACCAGCTGGCTCCCCATCAAAAAGCATCAAAAGCACTATGGGCTGGTAAGATGATAGGAATAGAAAGTCGGTTACAGGGGAGAAAATAATGTACTATTTTTGTTTTACAGGTGTATTCACACCATTGGCTTTTTAGTCTTCTACCTACATAATTGATAGCTCAGTGACAAATGGATCCATCATAAAATTGATCTTGTTTGGAATCGTACCTTCAGATTTGTAGGCGAACAATAAAACTACGGCTAACAAAGATATTAAGCCTGGTGACAAAATAATACAAAACATCTTCTTTATTTGACCTTGGTTTCTGGTCCTCTAATTTTACGGCAGCTTCCCAGAAATGAGGAAAAAATCAATTTTTTACAGCTTAAAATATAAAGTTAAAGGAAATACTTTTCCTTAAAATGATTTACGATACCTTCATATAGTAATCCTTTGTTGCTGTTTAGGCAACTAGTTTCAGATGTTCTGAACCATCATCAGGCCTCAAGGTGTCAGTAATAATTTTCATCGTCCATCTGTTTTCAATGTGGCACAATCAATGTTTAATACCAGGGCTGCTCTCAGTGTGTTTTATCACTTCAGTAAAAAAAAACTTTTTGTTAACTAATAATTTGTGTAATTTAAAAATGTTTTAACTCTAAATCATGTTTTTACTAATAAAAGGTACTGTCAGATCATCCTGTAATTTTAGTAAGACGACCACTAGTACTGAACCTAGGGTAGTTTTTCTAACGAGAAGCACATGCAGTAAGAAGCTGAAGACATACCCCCGGTACCTGAGTGTAGTCTGTGGGATAGTCTGGGTAGTCAGAGTCGTTGTGTCGGGGACGGGGGTAAGCAGCCCTCACGCCCCGCGCCCCCGTTCTGCCCCCCCGCGTACCTCTGGTACCACCATGCCTGGGGCCGCCTCCCCCTCGACCACGGCCACTCCAGTCCCTGTAGTTACCGTTCACTACTGGCTCGTTGTCTCCGTCTGCAACAGTGACATTACATAACTTGCTTCATCAATAATACACAGTGCATAGTACAGAGAGCTAATGAAAGATAATGTTCTGGTCTATTAGAATTAATATAAACCAGCAGTTCAAATATGTTTTTGATAGTGTTTATTTACATTGTTGACATGAGTGAGTCATTTAGTAACTCAGTTATGTCTCAAGAAAAGAGACTTGACAAAAAATTTTAAAATTAAAGTAGCCTAAAACTACTTTATTCAATGAAACAATAATATTAAGTGATTGATTTTATCGCTACACTACGGTATGCTGTTAGATTATTTGGATCTATTGACTTTGGAGGAACAGGGATTTAAAATTATGTCTGCATTATTCTGTTTTGCGTTCTCTTCCTGTTGTAAAGCACAGGTATAGCAGCTAGTATTTTTATATTATAATGTTTACATAGTCTGTCAACAGTGATGAGGTAATGCATTGTTTCAAGCGAGTCAAAATCAGTCAAATACCGTGTACATTAAACAATACAGACTAGAAAATAATTATTTAGTTTACTATTACTTACTGTGTTCTCCATTTTTCTCCCTTGCATGTTTAGGAGATCTGTCTCTTTTACTTCTACCTTTTGACAGATCCACTACTTCTAAAGGCACCCATTTTGGTTTGGCAGCTGAAACAAGAGATATACACTGAAAAATCTCACATTGTACGACATTTAACTATCGGAGGATTATTGCTTTTAAATATAATAACTTAATGTTATTTAGATCCTAAACTAAAATCTTAGCTAAGTCGGAAATTTCTTTAATGACTGCTGTGAATTAAATTGTTATTAGTAAAAATAAATAAAGCCTAGACAAGTAATTGATGAGTCTATGATTAAATTTAGGTCAGTAAGTATAGCCAGATGCCGAATGTAATTGATGAGCACAAACAAGCAAGTCTTGCACCTGAGTCAATGACATTGGCTGGCTTACAATTGCTCTGTTAGCTTCAGGCAAGGCATAATTATGTTCAACACTACACACCAATACTCCAACGATAATTCACACTCAAGAAGAACATGTTCAATAAAATTGCATTATTATTAATTTTACTATAGTATATTTACAACACTTATAACAGGCCTCACTGATATTACTGTAAAATGGTACATGCATGGTTTTTCTCTTAATTATCCTATGTTTGAACTAATTTAATTTTATATTAATAAACAAACCTGATGATGCTACCAAAATTTTACAATTTTGCTCTTTACTTGGTACATTGCAATCACTCCTTCATTGATTATTACAATTTTCTTCAAAAGTCTCCAAGATCTCAACGATTTTCTCCTTTACATAATGTATTTTTCTTTGCTTCAGTTTTTTAAGAGATTTCTTTTATTTGTATTCCCAGTAGTAAACATTTAGTACTGTTGATTATTACAAGTACTAATCCATTTTCAAAACTAATTAACTCCACAACAAAACAGTTTCTTTTAGCTATCCAAATTATTATTTGTGCTTTCTTTTCTAAATAAGGATGCTGGCCTCTTTTAACTGAGCATTTGCCCGCCTAAGCAACATACCAAGCAAAAGAAAGGAGTGCTGTGATAGTACAGTATATGATAAGTTTCAGTAGCAGCATTGGTACGGGAACATTAAAAAACCATTGTCAAGGATATTTAGTCTATCAAATTGTAGACTGGTCCAGAGATTCATCAGTCAGTTGATTAGTAGAGTAATTACTTTTTATTTCATAGTTCCTTATCAAGAAAACTTGTTAGCCTATTAACATATCTTCCTAATCACTACCTCATTTAAAAGGTACTTTCGTATATTTTTACTCTCACATTTGTTTTCTGATCGCTTATTTCTTATTCAATTAAAAGTTAAATAAAAAATCTCAATCCCTCAATGATAGATAACATATACTTTGCTACAATTCTACTTTTTTTTAGGTTCCTTTAAAGATGTGAAAACCAACTTTCCAATTCGCACCAAGCATGAATTACCTCAGGCCAACAAGATGGATGACAAAAAGATTACCTGGGAATGAAGTCATCAGACAGGTAAGTGAATATAAGCATATGGTAGTCAATATTGCATGTTCTGACAATTATAAGTTGATAGGTTTTCAAATTATGTCTTTAAATAATTTCTTAGCATATTTTAAAAATTATTTTACTTGTTATACAGTAAACTCCTAGTTTAGATTCGGTTTGACAGGCCATTAATAGTAGGCCTCCATCCAATAATTAGTCCGGGTGGTGGTCAGGTCCTGAGGTGACCGAAATAGAGGGAGTCTACTGTATTTTAATTGTCTATGATCATTTCACCTGTTTCCCCTGGTGTTCCTCTAAAAGTTATTTGAAAATTATTGGCTATTTATTATTAACTTTGTTTAAACTCAAGACAAAACAAGAGAGATTCGTACGCTTTTTTACCCTCAGATCTCAGAACCACACAATAAATCATGCCTTATAAGAAATACAGCAATGTGTTACTCACTCTTTTTCTTCTTGTCAGCATCCTGACTATCGGGGGTGGTTTGTTGTGGGTCGTCGTGCCCGTTCTGTTTCCCCGTGATTGTGATGGTGACTTGGCGGGGCTCCGTGGTGATCGCGGGGGTTTCTCCGCCGCTGTTACTGGTCACTGTCTCCTTGACTGACTTCTTCTGCAACAATAAAACAAACTCTTGTTGAAAACAGTTGGAGAACACTGGGCTGTAGATTAGAATGCAATACAGTAGAACCCCTCATAGCCGGCCTTGGTTTAACCGGTCCTCTGTTTATCCGGCCCCTTCCAGGAAGCCAATATCAAAATTTTTTCTCACAGCTTACAGACGTTTAGATGCAAGCACTAGTCTTTGTGACTGCTCAAGTCATAAAATAAATTGTTCTCACTATTTATCTGTTTGTTTATACATTTATTTGCTGAGTCACTATACTCAGTTGAGCTAGTAGGCCTAACCTCTGATCAGTTGGTTGATTATTTCCAAAGTGGGTTTAGTACAGTACAGTACAAGTACATTAATTTTTGGATTTCACAAAATGGTTAAGAATGTTGAGTAGAAATGCAAGTACCATTTAAGTCTTAATGATCTTTAAGTACAATTTATTGTCATTTTTAAGTTACCTTCATTTAATATGTTTTGTTACCTGGAATCATAATATTTGTACATTCATTACATAATGACTTTAACCTACAAATATGTTTTTTCCTTTATACAAACATGTTTATTTTTCTAAAAATGACCCCAGAACAGAATTAAATGATACTTTTGATTGCATATCTTGATTACCTATTAATTATTAGGTATGAATTGTCATTTTCATAGTAGGTTGGTTTATCCGGCCAAATCGTTATCCGGTCAGGGGCTTGGTCCCGTGGTGGCCGGATATGAGGGGTTCTACTGTACTTTGAACACAGCTAAGATATGACAAAAACTCTAGGACTAGAATTGGTTTTATGGGGTACCTATTTACTAAGGTGGCACTGATACAGTGGGGTAGAAAAATATTCCTGGCTTATGTTGAACGTTGTTAATTGTTGGTTTATGTTGACTGTATGTAAACATCAATCTTTTATTGCTAGGCTCTAGTCTTACTTAAGGATCTCATTACTAGTGAATTGTGTTAAATAAAGTATACTGATTCAAGGCAGAAGATTTGAATTAAATCGAGATTCAGAATCAACTATATTTGGTTAAACCAGCATTCAAGTTAAACTATTAAAACGGACAACTTATGTATAAGAGAGACTTAACACCTTGAAGAGTAAAATAATTCAAAAATGTTTAAACAATATTACTAAGAGAAGGCTATATTGATGAGACTTTATTGGTGAAGGTCATCACTTTTATTAAAATAATAAACCTTGAATAATTTTAATAAGGAAAGGGGAATGTTTGTGGTAGATAAAACATATATATTTACCAAGTCAATGTGTGATAGCAATAGTTTATTTACTGTTCTGTGTGACTACTGAGATGGCAGTGTGAGATAAAACAAACCAACGAGTTCTCATTATATACAATACTCACCTTCTTCATTTCATAATAGACAACATGAAATGTTAAGTTCTACTGGTTTTATGTAGTATAACAGTTTGTTTAGGAAAAATGAAATTAATTTCTGCAAAACATTAAAATATCTTTATAGAGATTTTTCCTAGGTATGACTAGGTAATTGAGAAGTGGTAAAAAAATGTAAACAAGGCATATGAATATGAACAAAAGATGGATATTGGATAGTTAATATCTGCAAAATTAAATAATTACAAGAGTACTAAAAAAAAACATTACCTCTTTAGTTCTGTAAAACAATCCTATGCTAAACATAGTAGGTAAGATAGAGTTAAAAGGTTATAGTTTTCAAGCAAGTTTGCAAGTATTACTTTGTTTTTAAACTAGGTTATATTTTGTTTTGACTTAAAATTACATACTGCAGTTTATTTTTCAAAACAATAAAGAAGAGGCATCACAAAGTTTTTAAATTTGTAGCAAAAGTTTGGTACCATTTCGATCATTGTTGCAAATCTACTTTAGATTAGGCTATGATATTTGACTAAATTTTACATCCAGGTTACATTTTTTTCAATGTGGACTTAAATTCAGTATCATCTTTGTCTACACTAAACGGAAAAAATATGTGTTTGCTAGTTTTTTGGGAAATGTTGTCTGCAATGAGCAACCAATTACTTATGAAATTAGACTGTTAAATAATGTTTACTTTCGAACCAGTATCATAATTTGTTTATGATCCATACCGTTTCTGTTCTACTAGTATTCGTGCTGAGTGTAATACATCAAAGAATGTTTTATAATTTTTTTTCAAATAGAGGAAGGTTGTGTACAAGAGCACAATCCAACCTTTAAGGTTTATGATAACAAATCTCAGCAGCTACTGTATATACAAAAATAGAATGGCAAACCTAAGAAACAATAATGTTATAAGACAAAAAAGCACCATGTTAGACATTCGGGACAAAAATGAACATAGTACCTACACCAATTAAACGTTGTCAAGATGAATTTCCAAATGTTTTCATTAAATAATACAACTTATTTTCTCAAAAACACAAGAAGAAAATGTTTAGCCATTCAACAACCAATACAGTAACAGTTCAGAGACCTGTTGCACATTAACTCAAAGAGACAAACGTCAGAAGTGACAGCTGATTTGTTTGCTTGGATCCAACGAACACATTTGGCATCACTGAACCATCGACGGAATACTTAAATCAGCGGAACAGAATTACTGGATCTATCAAATGGGTTAATATAAACGGCTAACATTTGTTAGACTTATGTTGAAGGTAAACTGAGGTTGTATCATAACTGTTTACCAACACTGACTACCTACACATAGATAAATTCACAAGTATATTGACATGTTTACTGTAGGCAGTAACTTATACCACTTTAAAGTATTCCTTAACGGAACAGTTGATTTCGCTGCTATATCTAAATAACATTACAGTTTTGTTTGTACATTGCGTAGAATCATGACATTTTTGGTTATTTTTACGTTTTATACCCTAAGAAAGCCGAAACGAGTTATATCACTATTTCTATCCGTTTGTATGTTTGTCTGTCATTGTGCCTGTGATTCGAAAATTCTAATTTACGCAGCCTACTCCGAGAAAACTTGAGTATCGATCATGATTGTAATAGTTAAATCGTATTCACTGGATTGGTGAGACTGTCTTTAGCCATTAGAATATGGATTCCCTAATTTGAAAATAAAATAAGGGAAGATCGAAAACCCAATTTTGTAGTTAATGAACCCAAGTTTTCTCTCTATAATAATAACTACATACCTCATTTATGAAATACGAATCATTTGTTTAGAGATTATGACATCTATAAAATAAGGACAGCTGTTTGGCTGGATTCTTTTTTATAGCTGTCACTGATATGTTTACATTAAATGTTGTTTACAAATACTGCAACCATTTCCGAGCACGTTTTGTCAGCAGATCCAAAACAAAGTGGTATTAATAATCTTGTGACTTAAATTGCAGATTTAATTTATTGCAAGTACAATAATGTGTACCTAACTGGAAGTTAATAACTAAGCATCATCCAGGTCGGGAACTGGAGATTTTATGAGTATCAAATTGTACATGAGTTTTGATCATAGATCTCTGTATAATACAACATTTGTATTATATAGAGATCTATGGTTTTGATAACTGGGGAAAATGCTGTTAATTATTGTTGTTCTGGACTAGGAAACTTACATTTTTTTAATCATTGGTCCCAATATTCATATCCATTTAATATGGGGATGCCACCTATGTGCGTATTTTATATATCCATTGCCAGCTGAAATAATATATTTTGTAATAGGATCTGAGATACTTTTGTATTGTTGGGTAAATCAAGGTTCCTTCTTCAGGAAACATTGAACTCAATCAAAGAAATTTTTTAGTTCATTTCAAATTTGTTGTTAACTTGTAAAACTAAGTTGACGTTCAACAAAGTCGTAAATAAACATTAAATAACTTGGAACCAAATTCTTTGAAACTCAAAAACATAAACAGGTTATTGAGTCTAGCGAGCGAATGAGAAATGAAAACCTTGCCAAGTTACAGAACCTGTATAAATAAACATTAATGATATTGATTGTAAACTTCCTACAAGACAAAGGGGGAAGAGTGTGGTGTCGAAGAGTTATCGCAAGTAAACAATAACGATAGAGGAAGGTGTAATGATACAGTTCACTTTTGCCACCCACTGTGAGGCCTCCATACAACATATGTGGCCATGTGGTTAGGCACCTGTCACATTAGAGTCTTTGTGACGTAAGCAATTCAAGACATCACGTCGGTACCTGTTGTTTACAACTCGTCAATACGGCATTTCCCTAATTGATCGGGACAAAAATAGGTTAAAAATGTTAAACAAATTGCGACACTGTGCAAACATTTTCTGACACTAAAACTGGATATTTACAAAGGTACAATGTGACAAACGGACTCACCATGATGTAAACACATTGATGGTGAACGGTGAAGCGGCTGTGGTAGCAATGTTAACGTGTCACTAGGCTTCGGTTGACTGCTCTTACACTCACAGTCTCAGATAACACACACACGTTATCACTGCCACTGCCACCTCTCCGTACCTCACATAATTGTGACAACAGCCTGACATTTGCTTTGCAGTCAAAACAAAATCCAACCAACGTGTAATTTATATTTCTGATTTACTGTTTTCCTTAAAAAGAAAAACAACCTTTTATTGGGCCTACAGATTGAGTTGAAAACGCAGCTCGGTATGATTTAACACAAATATGAATGATGAATTTGTGTAGAATCTATGACCATAAACAGTTGAGTCTGGTTTTGAACCATCAAAAACCTAGTGACTTTTCTCAGGACTGAAATGGCGACCTTCTCATTAGAAGGCAAACGCCTGTTTAGACAGTTAAATGTTAAAAATGAGTTCAATTTTTAATTTGTAAGCTAATATTCAAACTGAATTTGCTTGGCAAACCTTTCTGATAGCGGAGGTGAAAACATGATGAAAACAACTGATGAAACAACTCTTAAACAAAGAGTCTAAACTACATCTGATGTTTCAATATAGGATAGACAAACTTCACAATTGTATAAACAAACTTTCTTTTCATCATAAAAATTAGAACTACCTAGCCTGTTTGGTATGGA